CACGGTTCATGCTAAGGGGAGTATCACCACTTGCCATAGCAGCTTGCTTTTTCTCCTCCGCAATTTTCTTCAGCCGCTTCTCCGTCTTCATCTTCCCGGAGCCTTTGCCATGGAATTTATGGGACAACGCTTTCCAAGACTCCTTTGGGGTTAGTACGCGGCCATGCTCATCATAATAGACAATTTCCACGTCAGGCTTGTAGTCCTTGAATAACTCCAGCTGCGCACGAGCCTCTTGTTGTTCTCGGAGTCGATTCTCGTATTCTCGAGTCGCTTGATCTTTGTTACCGCTGCGAGACTGTAAGCGATCTGTTTCGCGTTGAGCTTGTCGATAACGATATTCAGCGAGGAATCGATCCCTATGTAACTGAACACCCTCTCGCGAGGTCTGATCTGTCGATGGCAGCGCCAATACACCCTGTTGCCGGAGAAGTGACAGGGTGGCCGCCATACCAGAGCCAAACGTCTTCTCCCCTAACGTCCCGACTTCGACATCGTCGTTCACTGCGGTGGTCTTTGTCTCTGCTTCAGCGATGATTTCCATCATATCTTCGTACTCCTCTTCCTTAACAACCTCACCAGCTTCGATTTCGTCGAGAGCCTCATCGCCTGCAGCCACTGAAAGGTCACGAGAGGGCGATATCTGTTTGGTAGGGGTGGGCTCTACCGATTCCTCAGAAGGCTCTGACTTCACTGCAGTCGTGGTGTATGAGATAGCCCGAACGAATTCCGAGGTATCGTCGAATGTCAAACCACTGGCATCGCCATCCTCTGCGTCGTCCATCTGCAACTTGTCATCCGCCTGACTCGATTGTTCTCGGTTGCGTTCTTCTGCGACTAAAAACAGTCACTCTTAAGCCCCCCAAAGGACTAGCCCGGCTTACCTTTACGAGCAATCTCTTCGGAGACAACTTCTTGGGTTTGTGAATCTTTGCTCTTCGGGACCGAGCAAGGGCAGCTTGTAGCTCATCGTCATCGACAAAGTTGGCGTCTAACTCACGTGGCCTAGGTACAACCGTCTTCTCGTTAACATCAACCTCCATAATATTCTCATCGCCATCAATGGGGGCGCGACGTGATGAACGTTTCTTCTTGGTCTAATGAATATGATTGTCAGGTTTGCATCACCATAGCTCAAAAACGCAAATGTCGCTTACCTTTGGCTTCTTGAAACCTATATCTCCCTCTTGTAGGTAATCACGCGTTTCCAAATTTTCTAGAAGCCAGATATGTCAACAAAAGGCAAGAGCAAATTTAAAATTAAGAACTGACTGGCGTAATCTATTGACAACAAGGACTTATTTACGCTTGCCAGTTCTGGTTTCGCTTGAACGCCACTAATCGTGGTAGACGTAACAGAATTGCCCAAACGGAAATCCTGAAAAATAGGTAAATGATTAATCGCGGTGGAACGTTGTGGATGAGAAATACGCACAGTTTCCCTAGGACCTTCAATATCATCATCATATTTCGCCAGAATTGATCTTTTCATTCCAGCCTTGCCATCTCCAAATTCGTCATCATCATAACCGGTGTAATCCCGTTTTTTGATCTTCAGTTCATTATTTTTGCGAGTGCGTTCTTCTTCGGCCATCTCAACATTCTGAAGTTCATCCTCTGGATGAATGTAATTAAGAAACAGCAGCGTTATAGTAAGGCTTGCAGCCGACGCACCTTCGTTATCAAGGATACGGCTGTCTTTCAATGTGAGAATACGCGCATCGCCTTCTCCGAGGTCTTCAAAGTTGTGGCTGACCTTAAGGCCAACCAAGTCCTCTGCGGATAGACTATCAGGCATGTCATTCTTCATATCACAAGAGCTGCACGCACTTTCTGTATAGTCGTTACCCTGGAGAACTTTGTCCAAGTTCTCAAGCTCCTGCTGCCTTTTCTGCGCCAGCTCCTTGTCACGCTTCTTGGCTTTTTTGATCCACTTCAGGGTATCTTCTGTATCACCGTCGGGATCACCAAGTGTTGCACCCTTGAGGGAGGCATGGAGTTCTCGTCTATTCCTGACCCTGTGGTTGCAAAATGAGTAATCTGGAAGAGCCAGTATAAATGAATCGAAACTCACTTCGCTATCCGGTCAAATATTTGCCTGGAAAAGAGAAACGTCAATCAGAACAAGTCGTATACTCAGAAACGAACCATGTAAATACTTTGTTTCTCTCTCTTTCGCCTGTCGCTCGCGCTGCTTTGCATAATTATCCTCCGCTTGTTTGTCCTTGTCGTCGACTGGTGCAGAATCATCTGTAAGAGGCTTGAGACCGAGAGAGATACGGATCTTGTTCGTCTCTTCAAGACTGATGCTTTCTTCCATTGACATTGCGGTTTAGAATGACTGAGAACGCAGTGAATGTTGACGAGTGTGCGCTGCCTCATTAGTCATTGGTGTGAATTTTTGGATTCCAATTGAATTACGTAATATTATTTTTGGTCCTTACATAAATGGACACTCGTTAGTATTCATAAGGAGATATCACGCGCGCTTCCGAATTTAGCAGCCGGTACTGTTTGCGTGTTACCTAATTTCAGTTATTTTGTGGTTCGCCCACTGAATCTAGGATGATCTCGTATGTCAAAGGCCTCGAGGCAATATTAATTTGAAATAGCATCAAACACACTCATCTTCTACTACTTAGCCGGGCTACCAAGGCGCATATATGGAGCGCGAGTTCCTTTTCTTCTTTCTCTGACCCTTACCTTTTTTTCAAGTCGCCATCTTCATGTCTGCACCAATGGACTATCGTATTCCAGCTCTTGCTGCCGTGTCTGCGGTAGCATATGGCCTAGTCAGCTGGTGGTCGCATAAGAAGAAAAATCCAGCAGGTCTTCCCCTTCCTCCAGGTCCCAAGCCGCTCCCAGTAGTGGGTAACGTGCTTGGTCTCAAGATTGATGAACCATGGGTCACATACACGCACTGGGGTGCTATGTACGGTAAGACATTGGACGTTGTCCAACAGTATACATGAAACTACTAATCTCGCGATTTATTCCAAGGCGAATTGGTGTACTCTCGTCTGCTTAACCAGGAAATCGTTTTGATTAACTCTGAGAAAGTTGCGAAGGACCTATTGGAGAGGCGCTCCAACAACTACTCCGACAGACCTGGTATTCTGTGCCTGACGAATGATTTGTACGTCCAATTTAAACCTTTTATGCAATTGTCCGATTTACCGAATCACGGCAGTGTTGGCTGGTCATTTAATTCTGTCATGATCAAATATAATGATCGTTGGAGGCTCCACCGACGATTGTTTCATCAAGCATTTCGTCCAGAAGCAGCTTTGACATATCAAACAATGCAGCTTCGCAAGGCGCGGGATTTGTTGAACAACTTGCTCGAAGACCCAGTTAACTGGAGGGCGCATTTGCAGACGTAGGAGCACTAATACAGTGTGTATTATTCTGATGCTGATTTTGCAGATCAGGCACTCAGTCTCTATTATTATGTCTGTCGTTTACGGTTACGAACCTGACTTAAGAGATGACCCCATCATTTCTGTCGTTGAGAGAGCTGTCAACTTAGCGGTGTCTTCTATCAAACCTGAGGTTGCCGCTGTCCTTGGCGCATTCCCATTTTGTGAGCTTCCTTACTAGTACTCTTGTGGCTACTTGATGTCTTACGTGCATACAGTGCAGCACATTCCATCCTGGTTCCCTGGAGCTTCATTCAAGCGGACAGCTGTCTTATCCGTGAAGTATGCCCAGGACATGATTGAGGCGCCGTTTCAGTACGTTCAAAAGAATATGGTGGGTTCCAACATCTCTTACCACCAGTCATTCATCTCATCCGAGGTGAACTAGGCGTCAGGCTCGGCATCCTCGTCCATGGTCGCCGACTCTCTGAGAAAAGCCGAAGATCAAAATGCGTCTGAGACGTATGTCAAGGCAATAAAAGAGAGCGCCGTGACTGCCTTCGCAGGTATGTTGATGCGATCGTATGTTTTCAAGTTGATCCCTTACATCATTGTTTCCCTCTTAGCTGCTTCGGAGACAGTGAGCCATATCGCGACTGTCCGCGCATACGAAAATATTGCTAACAATTTTTTTCTCAGACCTCATCGACTATGTTTACTTTCATCTTGACGATGCTGCAAAATCTGGAAGTACAAGCCCGCGCACAGGCCGAAATCGACTCTGTAGTCGGTTCGGTCAGGCTGCCAAATTTCGAGGACAGAGCATCACTGCCATATGTCGAAGCTGTTCTTCGCGAAGTTCTTCGGTGGCACCCCGCTGTACCATTAAGTTTGTATCATACGAACTATATGCTGTGAATAGCGGACTGAATGTGAATGACACAGGCATCCCCCATGCCGCCACGAATGATGACGTCTATAACGGATACTTCATTCCGCAAGGTGTGACATGTTTGATAACTCGTAGCTTGTTGACTGACGTATCAGGGGCTACGATTATAACGAACACATGGTGAGCACTTGCCAATCAACTGACTCGTAATGTTTCTCCCGCTGATCATCATCAAAGGGCGATCACCCACAACGAAGCCAAGTATCCCAACCCAGAAGAATTTAGACCCGAACGCTTCTTTGGCGCCGATGGCGAGCTGAACGATGACACCGTAAACTTTGCCTTTGGTGCTGGTCGCAGAATTTGTGAGTCTCGCTGAGCTCTTGCCTCCTTGTGCCAATGATTATTCTGATCGTGACATCATAAAGGCGTTGGACGATATATCGCGGATGCATCCATCTGGTCTGCGATGGTTTCGATCCTCGCTATCTTTGATATCAAGAAATGCAAAGACGAGCAAGGCAACGACATTGATGTAAATCCGAAGTTTACTGCAGGCATAACTTCGTAAGATTTTTTATTGTGTGCATCTCTCATTCTAATACCTCCTCAGCTATCCATTGCCCTTCCCTTGTCTCCTCGTGCCCCGACACAAAGGATTCGACACGGAAAAGCTTGCTCAAATGTTCTAAGGTTCAGTCATTTCCATATCTGGTCAAAGCTGGCTCTGGGGTTGTAAGCTTATTGTATACTAGCTCTCCTATTCTCAATGTTTTTATGCTAACGATATCTGATGTCCACTCGAAATGTCCTCACGAGCATCCGCTCATGTTATATAGCTACTCTTGATACGTCTGGGAAATGATCATGCAGACCCGCAATCCGCTACGACTATACAGTATTAAGAAACGACAACTTCACCCTCACCGGCAATGGCACGAACGATAGAACAAGGTATGTCAGGGCAAGACACAGTATCTGGAACGAGGCTCTTCGCAGGGAATCCTACATCCCGGACAGAGACACATGGATCGGAGCCAGGGTAATTCCCGCCATTTTCACTGGCAGTATCAGGCAGGTTACAAGGACTGGACGTACACAGAGCCGAGAGCGATCTTGTGTGCATCGTGCAAGGAGAGGAAGATGTTCGTTCACCCACACTCGTAAAGAGACCGGACGGCGACCAGTCAGAAACAGATGAGATCGACGACGAAGGGGGTGTGGACGAAATGAGTTTCCGGAAGTTGCGTCCGCCACTTCCCGGAGTACGTGTACCGTAGCTAGGACGCAGCGTGAACACCTCTCGAATGAAGGGGTCATAGATCACAGTAGAGCTCTTGAACCTCGGTTTCTTCCATGGCTGGGTGTCACCGGAAGCATCGATGACGAAGGAGTGATCCACGTTGGCACGCGAGGAGCTAGCATAGACCGAGAAGTCGAGTAGATCCGACGCAGATGCGACAGAAGGGATACCCTTGAAATATGGAGCAAAGTATGTGCTGCCTCTGTCGCCAAATGGAGAAGCGAACCGATTCTCTCCTGCACTCGGCGAATAGGAGCAGTTCGGACGAGTAGGCGAGCACAATTGTTTGCCTTGAGGAGAACTGGTCCATACTTTGAGAGAAGCAGATGACAGGGACGTTGATAGGTCTGCATCACCGGGAAACGAGTTCTTGCCGGGTTGAAGCTGCGTGCCCAAGACAGGTGGCCAAGAACTGCGGAACACATATTCATCGGAACGACGCTTCAAGAATGCATAGGATGAGGGAGGAGAAAACGACGGCATAGGTAATTCTGGGCGATCGAACAGGGGATGAGATGGTTGTGAAGATCCCCGAAGATTGACGACATTACAATGACCAAGCTCCGGGTCACTGGGATTCGTCGTCGATACCATCTCTTGGCCTTGGGTAGTCCTACACCTGGCATCCTCAAGCTTCCGCAAGATGACATTCTTTGGCAGCACGAAAGGCTTCAACCCTTTCTGGTTCTGAGATGAAGCAAATTGAACGATAGTGAAGAAGCTCTGGCCCTCAGTTCCAGGTGTATCGGACCTCTGAGTTGCTCGCCTTCTACCAGTAACGAGACGGAAGAACAAGCGGAACAGTCCTGTAATGAATGACAAGGATTTGTGAAGAAAGAGGACAAAGTTGTGGAGAATGGCAACCATTTTCACGGGTACTGACGAGTAAGGACAGTGGCGGACTTGTTCGCGAACGACTTGGCGGTCGGGTTGCAAAGGGTATAAGAGCAGTGCTTACCGCTGCTGGCATATAAGTACTGCTGCAGCATAGCGGCTGACATATAGCTTTATCCTTACCTGAATTATTCGTGGAATTGTCAGCCTCCCCATTTTGTAAACAGGTGAGGTTGGCGAGACCAAATCAGTCATTGTCGTCCGAAAAACTACAGAACTGGCTGTAGGAGGTTGGAAGGAAGGGGTGCAATAATGTGTCATGCTGTACAGAGTGCCTTTATAGCGTTCCAATACTCTGAATTCCAAGGTCCTTGGTAACGATGCACCGGTCCTTTTCCCTCCCCTTCCCGCCCTCGAATGCCTTCATTAATGACTCTTGTCCCTCGTCAATCCTGTAATTTTAAAGGGATAGGTGAAGTTGAGTATTGACCAGTGAAAGAAAAATATCATTACCATTTTACAGAGTGAGCAGATTTCTCCAGTATGACTTTGACGGTCGTCCATGAAAACCGGACTATGGATGGGAAACCAAAAGTGGGGTCGAGTGAGTTCTTTACCCAAATTTGAGTCTTTGGATCTGTAATTTTGTTAAGCAAGGACGCAGAATTTCCTGCGAGTTGGTAACAAACCCGATGGATAGCCACTCCCAAATTCTCTGTTCCAGTTTTCATTTCGAGCATTCCCAGCTGCATTGTCATCTTCTTCAATTAGTTCTTCGAAGGTCCAACCATCCACACATGCATCCCTGGTCACCTTTGCCGCCACGCTGGCTGCTCCCACAATCTTGAATTTTGAGTCTGCTTTCGTTGTCACTGTGAAACTGATGCCCGGGAATTGTGAAGAAAGATACGCTTCATAAGTGGTTGTGTTTCCCAGTGCATCCACATATACCTAACCAAAGGATAGTTTAGTATTCATTCGAAAACGCAGGGTGCATGTTAACCTCAGACAACTGGAGCCCACGCTGAAGAGCGTCGCGTATGAGCGATACGGTTGCATCCTGTGATTGCTTGTTAAGATTTGTTGGCGGAATTCTTAGCATCCCAGCTGATATAGCTTGTGGGCTGGTCATCATTAGAAGTCTCACAAAAGATAGAAGTTCGGATGTATGTACCTGACGACTCGAACAGACCATCCGAGATTCTGAGGATCAGAGTTAAGCACGTCTAATAATCTGGCTCGCTTTTCTGGAGTGAGTGTTTTGGAGTCTAGAAGATATGGCTTGTGTCACAATGTACTTGAGCGCTTGAGATATGTTTACCAGCAAAGCCCAGCTGCTCTAAGTCGGTCTTCCAATGTACAGGGCAGTATGCAACACCGTAAACAAGCGGCCCAAGTACAGGGCCACGGCCAGCCTCATCAACACCGAGGATATATGGCCCTGGTGCTGTAGGCGTTGAAGAATGATACGTATACGAGTTTGTGAGTGGGCTTGACGGTCCAGGTGCTGAGGGAATAAGCGAAGCAGAAGTTGGGGACATAATTTCCACGAGGTCTCGATTTGAACGTATCTAGGCTGCTAAGTCCAAGGCCAATGGAGGAAGACTGTGTTTACGCGTTCTTTGTACCTATTGATCCTTGTTTAGGAATGGACGACACCGCTTCAGGCCTTCAGGCGCTCAGCGTTTCAACCTTCAAACTTAAAGTCCTCTTCTAGTTATATCAAGTGGATCGATGATGTCTTCGATTTCGGCCGTGCTAAATTGATGGGTGCGATGAATTGCAACGTGTTTTTATCTGACTGAAGTGTTTTCTTCTGCAAGCTAGACTTCACATTCTGGAATTCGATCCGCTATAATAGATAGCCTATATTATACATCGTGATGCTCAAAGTCCATCGTGCAATGCGCATGTTCAAACTACCAGTACTAAAGCACATTCAAAATTCTCCTTGTTTCTCGAGTGCGGCTTTGGCGCGTTCATGTGCTGCAAAAATAATCATTCGGTGCGCTATATGTTTCGAAAGTTGAAGATCGCACCTGCATGCTTGGCTTTTTCCTTATCAAGTGCGTCCATTCCCTTGGTCTCTGCAATGCGGTCAACAAAGCCACCCGTCAGTGCCGCACTACGAAGAAAGTTTTTGTCAAATAATTTCGAGACCATTTTGCGTGGTAGTGCTCACAGCAGCTCTACGGCTTTTGCATGGTTTGCGGGTTTTCCATTCTTCTGGACGTGCTTCTCGTATGCTTGGGCCGCCTAAGATGTGATCGGTAACGACATCGTGTTCGACAGGCATGAAAGACAAACCTCGTAGGACGCGGCAGCGGCAAGGAGCTCATGGGTCAGTTTAGCGCTGTGCCCACCAGTCACCTACAGATTGTTGAGATGACCTGTCAACGTGTCACATCACTCAGCTTACCTGCGAGTGTGCTTGAGACTCTTCAGAATCGTGCGTGAACCACATGGTGTTTGTGTAATGAGGAAAAACTGAATACAATGAAATACGAAGCTGACGTCTTTTATATACAAGGAGCGGTGCAATGATGTCAGTGTGGGGTGCACACAGTACTCGTCATGGCATGTCTCCCGGCAAAACTTTAAGGGGTCAACTTTGCCGGGGGAATCAGTTATTATTTCCCACGGCTACTGCTAATTGACCACTGTACCTCGATCAGGTCCGCGCCTCATAATGACACGCTCTAGCACCAAGTACACCACTTGCACCTATCCAGTCTTCAATGTTCTCCCAGTGCTCCAACACGCTTACGGCAATCCACCGCACCCACCCCCTCCTGGCTATCCAGTCTCGCTGTCTGGAGCATTTTTCTTCATCTCTACCGTCAACTTCAAATAATTCGTTTCTTTTTATCCAGGGACATGGTGTTGCGAGCCTTGTGGGCAGTGTACAATAATACGGCTCCAGGTTCTACATAGGGTAAGATATGTCCATTCTTTCGGCCCAGCTAAAGGTGCGCAACAGTAGTTCCCTCATTTTGCAGACACATTTTACCACCTGTTTGATCCGTTTCTCTCGCCATTGGTCATCGACTCTGCCGTCATTCAGACCTTCCACGCCAATTGAACTAGGCCGCCATCAGAGCATCACTGATGCCCTCGCTTGCTCAAGATTCGGCCTCTCCCCGCGGCGTATCCGAGTTACCTGTTTATCAAAAGTTTTCACTCAGCTAGTCAGTATTGTGTGTAGTGAAAAACTTCTTTCATTAATCACGGGGCATACGCTAGATGACGATCAATAAGCCATTTGGCACACCGGACCACGTTTTTGTTGGGCTCTCGTCGCGGTAAGCTGAGGCATGGCCAACCAGTACATATGTGATCCCAAAACTATCCAGCGAACTTGAGTTCCCGGACTCCACAACTCAGATTTTTGCAATGTTTTACATTACTTTATGTCTACATACGGAGCGAATCGATTTCCAATATTAATGGTGTCGACGCCATGTGCGCGCTCCACTTTTGTTTGATTTGTACATGCTTACTACGTGCCGCACCACGGCTCTCTGCGCGCTCATTGTATTTCTCGAATCCCGCACTAACTAATGGACTGATTTTTGATTATGGACATCTCAATACTGACTTATTTTCGCCGCTTCTCTCATAAGGGTGTTTATACGAGATAAGACTACAAAATTGGGTCACAAGTACTTCAGTGACATGTATTCAACTGTCCTTCTGTTTCAAGACCTCCACCGCCCGAGCAACGGTATTCAAAAGTAAGTATTATGATCTATTCCTCAACGAACTACTCACGCATCGTGGCATCAATAATACTACACCGATGCGAATACAAAAACACGACTCACTGTAATCCACTGTCGCGACATATTACATACAAACTCGGGTCACTGTTAACTACCGCGTCAGTGAGTTATGTGGATAAATTTAAGATGTAAATCGCTGATACTCACGTGCTTTGTGTCATATTGCGTGAAGCAGTTCTGACTAGGACAGCACGGGTGTGAATCGTCGCAATGACTGTGACAGTCAGCATCATTGGCAGATACTGTTGCAGTCAGAGCAGTGACAACGGCGAGAACGAAGAAGAAATGCATTTTTTGTGTGAGGGCGTGATATGGGATCAAATCAATGAAGGGGAGAGTGGAAATACGGCTTGCTTTTATGTGCTGAAACCTGTTCCGGCAAAACTTCATAGCAATCCAGGATCCACTTTCCGATAGATTCTCACTGCATTGCCAACAGAGCTCAAATTTGGCCTGCTCTCACACAGGCTGTCGCCAAAGCCTTCGTATAATCTCGGAAACTTGGATCACACAAGGTTGTACAATTTTGCCAGCGGCATCGTCTAGATCATATCTACAGGGATGATGACTCCAGAGTCTTCAATTTAATAGGAAAAACATTTTTTACTTACATTCTAGAGAGTCGCCTTTGATCGATAGGAATCAAATCATATGAGATGCCGCTAGTGTTGTGGGGAGAAGTCCGCCATTCTGCCAGCCGGTTCTACCAAACTGGTTTTTCCCAGCAGATGGCAGAGTCAAATTACAGAGGATCACGGTGAAAAATGTCATAGTGGGTATGAAAGTTGAACGTTGAACTTTGAAGCTGTCCGACGTGTCAAACAAGTCAGCGCCGATATCAATTAAGTTAAACCTCCGTACTGCTTCAAATTATCACACCAATCACGTGCTTGTTCGGATCGCTAATATGATCGCTTTGAGCCTCGGCAGACTCGAATCACCTACTTACCACCATCTGCCTGTTCATATCACGCTATAAAAATCCACGGTTTTGTCTTGTCATTCTTCGCCTGATTTGTTTAGTGTTTTTCGCGGCTCGCCGTGCGGACAGCGGGTTTCCATGTATCTCCGCTTGGCCGATACGAACATCTATATGATCTTACGAGGGGCCATAGTGTGATACAAACCCAGGGATTGTAGAAGTTTATGTGTCCATACTGGCCTAGGACTCTCATTTGGCTATTTCATCTGCCTGATCGAATTCTACTTCTGCCATGGTACATGCCAGTGGCATGAACATCCCGCATATCTGTTCTGCGTTGGCCGTAGGGTATATTATTCACGAGTATTGCATTATGAGACCGTGCTCGGGAAGAAAATGACGATAGGACGACCCATTGTAATTTGAGGTACGACTTCGTCTCCTTGATAACGTGTCTCTACAGGTGCGAGCTTGACTCGTGCATTATCTGACTGGGATTTCACATTTTACATGAGACTGGCAAGATAATATAATAGAAAATGCCACTGCATTGCTATGCACATGCAGAGTCTCTAAACACATAGTGCATAACAACAAAGGCCTGACGAATATTCATGTACGATATACTCCAATGAACTCCCATCCAGCTGCAGCTACGCTAAGGACTCGGACTCCTCTTTGAACGTTTTGTTTTTGACCTCGCCCTCTTCTAGTTCGAACCTGCCAGTATGAAATGATACGGAGAAGACGTCCTTAGAAAGAAGTCTTGTTCAGCACCTCATATGCTGAGAGGGCGGACCTCAGCTGCTTGAAGGTCACATAGGCTAGACCCTTGACTTTTTATTGGACAAGGCGTCGATGAATATATGAAACTAGTTGTTTTATAACGTCATATCTAGGAAAGAACCACTCCGGTTGGGAATATCTAAGTCTCACCAGTTTACTGATGACCCTTCTGGAATTTGATCCGCTATGATAGATAGCCTATATTGTACATCGTGGTACTCAAAGTCCGTCGTGCAGTGTGCACGTCCAAACTACTAGCACTCAGGCACATTCAAAATTCTCCTTGTTTCTCGAGTGCCCCTTTAGCGCGTTCATGTGCTACAGAAATAATGATTCGGGGCGCTATATGTTTCAAAGGTTGAAGATCGCACCTGCATGCTTGGCTTTTTCCTTATCAAGTGCGTCCATTCCCTTGGTCTCTGCAATGCGGTCAACAAAGCCACCCGTCAGTGCCGCACTACGAAGAGAGTTTTTGTCAAATAATTTCGAGACTATTTTGCATGATGATACTCACAGCAGCTCCACGGCCTTCGCATGGTTTGCGGGTTTTCCGTTCTTCTGAACGTGTTTCTCGTACGCTTTGGCAGCCTAGTAAGTTGTGATCAGGACAGACATCATATTCGACAAGCATGGAAGACGAACCTCGTAGGACGCGGCAGCGGCAAGGAGCTCGTGGCTCAGCTTGGCACTGTGTCCGCCAGTCGCCTACAGATTATTGAGATGACCGGTCAACGTGTCACATCACTCAGCTTACCTGCGAGTGTGCTTGAGACTCTTCAGAATCGTGCGTGAACCACATAGTGTTTGTGTAATGAGCAAAACTGAATACAATGAAATACGAAGCTGACGTCTTTTATATGCAGGGAACGGTGCAATGATGTCAGTGTGGGGTGCACACGGTACTCGTCATAGCACGTCCCCCGGCAAAACTTGGGTGCTGTGTCCCAGAGCGATGTAAAGGTTGCTTTCCCGGAGGGATCAGTTATTATTTCCCACGGCTACTGCTAATCGACCACTGTACCTCGGGTCCGCACCTCACAATGAAACGCTCTGGCACCAAGTACACCACTTGCACCTATCCAGTCTCCAATGCAATGCTCCCAGTGCTCCAACACGCTTACGGCAATCCACCGCACCCACCCCCTCCTGGCTATCCAGTCTTGCTGTCTTTGGAGCACTTTTCTTCATCTCTACCGTCAACTTCAAATAATTTGTTTCTTTTTCTCCAGGGACATAGTATTGCGAGCCCTGTGGGCGTTGTGCAACAACACGCCTCAGGTTCTACATAGGGTAAGATGTGTCCTTTCTTTCGGCTCAGCCAAGGATGCGTAACAGCCTGAGTAGTTTTCTCGTCTTGCAGACACCTGTTTGATCTGTTTCTCTCGTCATTGGTTATCGACTCTGCCGTCATTCCGACCTCCCACGTACACTGAAGAGTCGGCCTCTCCTGGCGACGTATCCGAGTTACCTGTTTATCAAAAGGTTTCGCTCGGCTAGTAAATATCGTGTGTATGGTGTACAACTCCTCCACATATCTGCAGCTGAGACTGCTCTCGATCAACGAGTGCCTGGATTCAACTACAATACTAGTATATTCCATCGACAAGAGTACTCTTATTATAGATTCGACAGTGGAGTGGATACTATTTCATAGGACAGCCTATGGTGAATATTTGCGAGAAAAACGGAAAGTTATTTCCAAGCTATTTTTGGCAAGAAAAACTGCGGGTATCCCCAGTGGAGTCCATGCAATGCGTCATTGACGTACGTCAGTGACGCTACGTACGGGTCGAAAACATTGTAAGACGCTACCTTATCGACTCCCGCGTACGTAGATCCACCACACTCTGATTTGCATTTCGTTAAGTACAATGTTGAAATGAGTTGGACAAGTTACTATGATGATCCTGCCGCATTTTCACAAGCTTGTGCCTTTAGCTAATTGCAAATGCACACCTGGTAGCCTCCGCAACTGCCAACAGGCTGTCTCTCCATATAGCTACCACCCACAGTTGGTCCTTCATCAGAATCATCCGCATTGGGTTGGACTCAGTGTACTGCTCCCACACCGGATACTTGTCCAACCTGTAAGCATTCGGGTTGCCAGCGCGCACGAAGGAAAACCGATAAGCAATGTTTCAGGGTTCGGAAGCGAACGCGAGTTCGGCGGGCCTCTGTGGTGTAAATGCTGTAGAGCCATTTAAGCCTAGCTAGAACGTCATGTCTATGAGTCTGTTCTTCAAGTAGTTAGATGGACTGAGTGTCGGATGCTCACACGGTGTTAGTGCCATCAAACATTGTGTTGGACAAGCGCACTAACGCTTGCACCACGAAGGCATGTCATTTTCTCTGCCACAGAGCCCGTTCCGCATCCTGCATACGATGCGTAGAATCGGAAGAAGGGCTGTTCACCTTCGTTGGCAATCATGTTTAGCTCCACAGAGCTACCACCGGCGCTCTGATCATTGATAGTCGCTTTGGTTGAGTCACCACCGAATTTGCTGATGTATGATTTAACCAATTTTAGTGCCTGGATCTGGTCCCTGAACCCCGCGTTAAACTCGTACCTATGTAATGTTGGCGAATTAGGGAGTGCCTAGGAAGCCGAAAGTATCAAGACGGTAATAAACAGAGATGATGATGACATTCGGACTTTCATTGATCCAGCTATCAAATGACCAGCTACGTGGATTTCGAAAGATATGACCTGTCGCAATGAGATTGAGCAAATAAGTCCGGTAGTCCCTGAAAATTTACCTCCGCCATGAATATAGAGCAGTACAGGCACTACGTAGATCCATTGGAGTGGTGAGAAATATCGACACGTATGACAGACGTCTGTAGTAAAACTTACGGCTGTCGTAGGGCGAGTAGAACTCGCAGACATTGACGTTTAAGCAGTCCTCCTATCCTACTCCTCCTGCATCCCCAGCTAGGCGACAGATAAAATATTCAGGAAGACAATCACACATACCACCTGTTGTTCCTTGAATACAAAAATCAGAGTAGCTGATCACTGCATCCCCGTTCAAGTTGGCCTCATCACTCACACATGTCGTGTTCAGAGGGACAATTGCACGGAAGTGCAGATTGCCTATATAGGAGGCTCAGCGTACGATATCCCAAGGTATGCCACCATATTTTAGTATATCTAGTTACCAAAATATGTCACATACCCAACGTCAACTGTAGGACGGATGGACTTAAAATTCTGTACAAGCCGCGTACCATTGATTAAGGCAACGATCGCAATGCGAACGACACGCTGCGCATTCTTAAGTACAGGAATTCCTGTCCTTGCAGCCGTGGTTTTTTAAAGCGCCCTGCGATCAGAAAAGAAGATATTGTCATGTATTGTCATAATGTAATATGCGAACATGTAAAAGCACCGCAATCAGCATAATCCATCAGAAAAAACTCACCGATTTACTGATCGGCAGCCCCTCTGCGGAATAACCATTCCGCGGAAGTAAGTCACAAATTTACATACAGACTGCATGCAACACATGCTACATGATGCACAAAGGTCACGAAGCAATTGAAGGTGGAAGGGAGAAAGCATCATCGGCATCTTCCGGAAAATAGCCCGAAGTTCCTTATCCCTTGCCGCACATACTAAGAGTCTCGCCATGTCACCTGGGAAGCCAGCGAAAGCCATCAAAATCAAAGTCCCGCGCCATGGTGCCCAAAGGATAGGCGCAAAATTTTCTGCACACGTTGAAATGCTAGCGAGGAAAGAGAAAATTCGTGTAGTCACTCACCAGCCTAACTATGACTCAAATAATATCATAGCTCAGGCTATCGTAAGTACCATACTACCTACACAACCACTTTAACATTAGAAGTGTTCTATTTAGGAGTCTGCATCCGAGTGGAATTCACTGCTTATTACAGCCCGTGCTCAACGTGGACCACAGTGGGATGTTGGAACTCAACAGTGCGTCGTCTAACCGTGTCGTATTCAAAGGGAACTGAAAGTTGTTCAGATTTCATGTAGACCAAGGGTCTGACCTATACTACGACTCGTCTCCACTGTTGGAGTATCAGAAACAGCAACGCGAGGAAGAAAATGCCGCCCGAACCTCAATGCAGCCTCCCGATTTTCGTGCACACGATCCTTCTCGTATTACTCGAAATCACTCGACCTCTTCAAATCATGCCTACCCATATGCATCTCCGGGCATGTCTCAAATAAATCCACGTCATCCAAATCTTGGGGGTTACTCGAATGTCTCATTCAATGGCATTCCACCCAGTCACTTCTACGGTCCTGGAGCGGATGGGGCTTCTCCTGCGAGGATGGGTATGAGAGACAGCATGGGTACCAGCATGTCTCCAGATGTGAGGAGAAGGTCAGCAAGAGGCATGCCAGATGATGGATTCATTCAACTGCATGGACCGTAATCGCACACGACCATTGATTCCCGCGTATGTTATTCAGTTCTTTGTATATCATCATTGTTTCAACTATATATATATTAGGAGAATTTGTCTATTACAATTGCATTCCACGGTGTGAATTGGCTACCAATGTATCATCCATCCGAGCCATTTGTGTCTTTATAGTCTCTCTTGCTCCGTCCTCCCAGTCTTCCCATGTTATAGCCATAATTGCAGTGTCTCTTCCTGGTCCTGCCAGCAGATCGGTTTTCCTGGGTGTCTTCCCACGTGCCTTCCCGACAGGTAATACCCATGCCCATCTCAAAGTTCCTTCACGTTTGAGCCCCATGCGAGCAGCAAGTCTAAGGGATGGCTCATTATCCGGATGCGCATACCAATGTACTCTTCGCAACCCCAACCCAGATTCAGACTGGGATGCACAGGGCATGGTAAAACAGTACTTGAGGAGTGTTCCTACTGCATGCGTTGCGACATGTGTACGCTGAAATGTGGGCAGGATGCACAGAACTCCAAGCTCCACTGATAGGTTCGTCGGTGAATAATTGAGGAGTGCAATTGTCCCTGCGATCTTCCCTCCCCATTCCGGATAGTCCGGGTCTGGGGTTGTCTTGTCGATGACCGCGAGGAGGACACTATACGGGTTCTGGCGCACGAAGGTGTCCATGAACAACAGATAAGACTCTGGATCTTCTATGCCGGGAAAGGGATAGTAACGGTAGAAGTGGTCAGGGTCTGAGATTGCTGCATGATATTTCGCAGCGTGAACGGATGGAATGAACGGCGTCAACTTCACACGCGGGGTCTCAAACTGAGTCAGGTCGAGGGGGAAGGCGACGTTGATGTCATAGGGGACGGGACCATGAAGTCCGTAAGCAGGTTTCGGGGGGGGAGGGGGTTGATAGGCATTGACATACGCCATGTAAAGGTGATTGGGCAAGCACTAGGTCAGAAGCCAAGTCATACGTATGGCGCTGGATCATTTCAAAAATTATACACACACCAAACTCACTCACACACAGATGCCAAACACACACACAGATGGCTAAACACACACATGTCTCGTATTGTCGAACATTCAGTACTATACACGCATTTTCAAGTTGACCGTGTTGTTCTAACTAAGGCGTCTTGAATCATTGGGCTGCTGCAGCCCTGGCAAATATCTCACTTGTATTGCAGAAAATCGAGCACTACCGATAACTGAAAGCAAACCGGTGATAAGTTCATTGAAGAATGCAAGACTCGGACCAGGTATGAGACCGCACTTCTTGAGTCAGGAGAATGGACGCAGTTAAAGAGCAAGCAAGCAAAATCGGTGTATATACCCTCTTCGCAGCTGATGAGAATGTAAGACCAGGCATGAGACTGTGCTTCTTGAGCGAGAAGACGGACGCGGAATTGAAGTCAGGTGCAGCTAACACAAGAATGGCCTTCTTCTTGCGGGATTTCAGATCAACAGATTTGACAGGTGTTTGCGATGTCAGTCGTTTATGTTTCTTCATGGTTCAGGATAAGCTATCTATAAAGTAATCTATAAATCTATAAAGTAAGGGAGAACGGTGGCGGGAAGGGACGGACGCTCGCGTGGTTTTCGCTTGGGTCGCTTAGACACGCTAAATGCCATGTGGTTTTCGCTTACCTCGCTTAAAGCTCGATTTGGAAACTCGCGTGGCTGTCACGTGCTTTCGAGGGTCCGCTGCCCGTTAGGGCAGCAAGCATTTAAAAACATTTATTGATTCTGAAATACACAATAAATTCAACTACATATTAAGAAAAGACGATTGAGAAATGGGAAAGGACAATGGGAGAATGAGGGAAATGGGAGAACAGAGGGAAATAGAGAATAGGAGAACAGAAACAGGAAAAATGGGGAAAATAGAAGAATGGAAACAGGAGAACAGGAAATAAAGGGAAAGAAGGGAAACAAGAGACAGAATGGAGGGACACGGACGGGAGGAACAGACGGGAGGAGGACAACAGGAGAACGGAGGAGGACAACGACGGGAGGAGACAGGGGGAGGAGGACAACAGGGGAGGAGACAACAGGAAGGAGGAGGACGAGGAGGACAACAGGACGGGAGGAGGACAACAGGAGAACGGGACGGGAGGACAACAGGACGGGAGGAGGAGGACGGAGGGAACAGGACGGGGGAGGGAGGAGAGGACAACAGGACGGGAGGAGGACAGGACGGGAGAGGACAACGACGGAGGAGGACAACAGGACGGGAGGAGGACAACGACAGGAGGAAGGGGACACACGGGGGGACGACAAGGAGGATGGGAGGATGACATGGACGGTGTGAGGACAAGTGAGATGCGGATCAACACATTCAATTTTACTTTTACTTTTTCTCATCTGCACAGAGAACAGGGAAACAGGAGAATGGGAAAATCAGAGAACTTATGAGGGGAACATAATTTGCTACAAAGTGCTTTGTAGCACTGTAGCGCAGTATGTCCTGCTGAGAACAGGAGGGTTCAATATATCTGAATGTAACATATCATGCTCAACTTGATGAATACAATATAATTTATTTCAAGACCTAAAATAATTATTAAAATACCCAAAGTAGGATGAAGCTGAAGGCCAGGAAGCCAACAAAGAGCGCGAAGCGCTCTTTTTGCTTCCTGTGCCGAAGGCACAACGGGTGTGTGCTAGTCTATAAAGTAAGGGAGAACAGTGACGGGAAGGGACGGACGCTCGCGTGGTTTCCGCTTGCACCGCGTAGATACGCTTAGATTCACTTAGATTCACTAAGATTCACTAAACGCCATGTGGGTTCGCTTACCTCGCTTAATCCTTACTTTGGAAATCTCGCGTGGTTTTCTCGCTTGAGTTTGCTAATGGTGACTACGAAAAAATCTTAATTCAGAATTTCGAGAGGTAAATTTCCACGGTGTCCAAAAATGCTGCCAAACGCGATATAGTGGACAGTGTTCCGCACACCTACTGCACCGCGCCCATAATATGGACAAACAACTCACTTTTCCTACTATAAGGGAGCGAGCATCGAGAATAGCAAAAGCATAACAGATTTTGGTTACACAATTTGTTACATAATTTGGTGACACACATCATTACACAATTTGTTACACAATTTGGTAACACAAATCATTACACAATTGGCTGCTGCTTTTGTATAGAATTCTCGAATTAAATTGCCCTCCCCCGCAGCCAAGTGTAACAAAGTGTGATACACTTTTTGTGGGTTTTGATTATTGTTAACAAAGATATAAATGACTTATTGATGGGCTCAGGCTACTCAAATTTTACACTTGCTAAACAACCGTTTAAATATCAAACATGGATGGAAATATGCCCATTCCGTGAGTTGCTGACTATATATTGCTACCTGCAAGGTGCATGATGCTAATGTCTGCACATGCTATTTAGAAATCAAGAACATATTACCCCGGAGCGCGAGCGTCACTCCCAACGTGAATGCGATAGAGTCAATCGACTCCAGATGACGTCCCCTACCAGGCGCAATCGTCGACATGCTGCTCATGATAGGCCTGCGCCTCATGTACCACAGCCAAATTTCATGCCAGCTAATGAACCTCAAGCAGGGCCTGTTCCGCGACCTTTTGCATGGCAGCCTCCTGCTCACTTTCCATATGAACTGCTACCAGTTGGTCAATATCCTGGCTTGCCAAGGAATGCAATTGCACATGTGCAACGTGCTCATCAGCACCCTCCTGTTGATTATAATGCACATTTGAATGAGCAGATGAATGCAGCTCATAATGATAGACGCCGTCAACGGAATCGTCGTCGGCAACAGGACAGAGAGGAGATAAGAGAGCAGGCACAGGCAGAGTTAATGGCAGCTGGGTTACAGTCCATGCAGGTACCTCAGGTGCATAATGAACCCGCTCAACCTGCTCCTGCTCCTCCTGTATATGGTGCCATTCATTATGAGGGCGCAGTTGGTCCTCACAACTTTGACAATCCTCTTCATTACTTTGTGCCTAATCCTGCACCACCTTTGGATGGACTGCCTGAACCTGATTATCATCAGTTTAATATTCAATTTCAGCAGCATCTACAGGTAGAACAATTGGAACAAGAGCACATTAGAAATGACTTGCTTCAAAGGCAAGCACAGGAGGAATTTCGACGACATCAAATTCAGCTACAATTGCGACAACAAGAAGCTGAGAGGATCAATAGAGAGGCTCAATGGCGGCATGAGGAGGCTCTTCACCTGCAGCAACAAGAAGCTGAGAGGATCCAAAGACAGGCTCAATTGCAGCATCAAGAGGCTCTTCGCCTGCAGCAGCAAGAAGCCGAGAGGATTCAAAGACAGGCTCAATTGCAGTATCAAGAGGCTCTCCGCCTGCAGCAGCAAGAAGCCAAGAGGATTCAAAGACAGGCTCAATTGCAGCAGCAGGAGGATCTTCATTTGCAGCAAGCAGAAGCTGAGAGGATCCAGAGACAGGCTCATTTGCAGCAGCAGGAAGAGGAGCAGCAGAATAGGCTGGCTCAGGATCGTGTGCAAGCAGGTCGACAGGAAGAGGAGCAGCACAATAGACGAACTCAGGATTGTATGCGAGCAGGTCAAGAGGAAGAGGAGATCCAACACCAGAGGCAACGAAGGATTCGTGAGCAAGCAGAGCGTCTAGAAGAGGCACTGCATGAATATAATGATCCTGCTTCTCAAGAAAATCACGCTGCTGATGAAGAAAGAAGAAGAGCTCAAGAGCTTCAACAGCGTGAGGAGCGTGAGGCAGAGGTTCAAGAAGTTATCAACCACATTGTTCCTATCCCTGATGGAGCTCGACCATACAGGGAGCCTATAAACATCCACAATCTTGGTCCTCTTAATGTAGAGTGCACCAAGTGCCAAGCATTGCACTTTGCATCCGAAAGACTCTCAAAATCGTCCCTACGGAATCCAAAATTCGGTACATGCTGCTTGGAGGGTAAAGTCGTCCTCCCACCCTTTCCACCATGGCCGCCAGAACTGCAGCGCGCTTATACTGACAGGACATTTGTCTCCAAGATTCGGCAGTACAACAGCGCTCTTGCATTCACGTCGGTCGGTGTCGATATCGAGGATAGAGCCCTCCAAGGCTCTGGCCCCAATGCTTTTCATATTCATGGATCTCTGCATCACCTCATGGGTAGTCTCATACCTCCAGAAGGTATTCAGCCTTCATATGCGCAACTTTATATCTATGATCCCGAGGAAGCCACCAACATTTGCGCCACCCGACCTGGAAATGAAGGTCTTGATCGCGGCATTCTCAGGGAACTCCATGACATGCTGTATCAAATCAATCCCTATGCCGCTCTTTACAAGCAGGCTTATCAGGTCATGTGAGAGAAGCCTCAAGAGCAGCACACGGATGTTCGTGCACGCATTCACTTCCAGCAAGGCACAGATGGTCGAAGATATAATGTTCCCACTGCCGATGAAATTGCTGTGATCATTCCTGGAGATGGATCTGAGCAGGTATCTGAAAAACGGGACATCGTCTTGCGGCTTCAAGGAGGTCGACTCCAGCATATAAGTCAGCTCAGCCATGCGTACTCCCCACTTCACTATGTCCTTCTCTTTCCATCTGGAGAGGAGGGCTGGCACCTTGGAATACCTCTGATTCTCCCACCAAATACCCGCACGGTCACAAAGAATGTCACTCAGCTGTTGTACTATGCCTATCGACTTCATCCACGCCCTGTTCCCATCTATCACAACAATATCTTTTGCGGTGGAAGATTGTTCCAGCAGTATATCGTCGACGCTTGGGCCTCCATCGAACAGAGCAATTTGAACTGGATCAGGAGCAACCAAGAGCGGCTGAGGGCGGACTGCTATCAAGGCTTAGCAGATAATGTTCGCAACGAGGGCGTAGATGATCTGGCTCAGACAGGTCGCTCCATCATTCTTCCCTCCTCTCACACAGGGAGCCCTCGATATATGCACCAGCTGCTTCAAGATTCTTTAGCCATTTGCCGTGCCTGCAAAAAGCCGGATCTCTTCCTGACGATGACCGCCAATGGAAGTTGGCCTGAAATCACAGAGAATCTCCTTCCTGGTAATGATTCTTATTTGATGCGTTGTGTATGACTTTGTGCTGACAATTTCTTATATAGGTCAGAGCGCTGTGGACCGCCCAGACTTGGTGGCTCGGGTTTTCTACCAGAAGCAGCAAGCGCTGCTGAAGAAGGTTCACAAGGGCTACTATGGGAAGGTTGCTGGATTGGTGTACACCATCGAATATCAAAAGCAGGGCCTGCCTCACATGCACCTTCTCATCTTCCTGGAGCCAGATTATAAGATCCGTACCACTGAGCAAATCGACTCCTTCATCTCTGCTCAGATTCCTGACAGGAACATCCATCCTCAGCTCTATCAGGTTGTGGAAAAATACATGCTGCATGGCCCTTGCAGTCCGCAGTGTTGCATAGAGAATTCGCGGTGCAAAAAGCACTTTCCGAAAACATTCTGTCCCCATACCCTGATGAAGGATGATGGCTATCCCGAGTATGCGAGACCTGACAATGGTCGCACCATCCAAAAGAACGACATCATCTTCACCAACAAGGATGTTGTTCCACATCCCCCCGAACTGCTGGTGGAATTCAACTGCCACATCAATCTCAAGGTCTGCGCCTCTATCAAATCTGTCAAGTACATCCACAAATACATTTATAAGGGAAACGACCACGCTACGTTGGAGATGAGAGGAGCGGTGGATGAGGTCAAATCATATCTGGACTCGAGATATATCAGCTCTACCGAGGCTGCATGGCACATCTTCAAATTTTCGATGCATCTCGAATGGCCCTCTGTCTACCGTTTGCCGGTCCATCTCAAAAATGAACAGATGGTGTTCTATGACCCCGAGGATGATGCTGAGGAAGTCCTTGAGCGTGCAGAAGTGAAAGATACTTGCCTCACTGGATGGTTCAAAGCCAATGCCAATGAGAACTTGGTGGCAGCTGGAGCCCACGACAGCCTCTATCAGGATTTCCCCTCAAAATTCGTTTGGAGCAAAGGTGCATGGAAGATACGGGAGCGAGGAATGGCGATTGGAAGAATGTACGCTGCTGCGCCCAGCTCCGGAGAGCACTTCTATCTGAGATTGCTTTTGACTGTAGTGAAAGGTATGATGTCTAAGACAATTTTTATCAATCAAGCTCACCATAATCTCAAGGGGCTACCTCCTTCGAACACCTTCGGACACATGATGGGACTCTCTATGAGACTTTCAAGGAAGCATGTCAGCACAGGGGTCTGCTTGATGACGATTACAAATGGATCCAGTGCTTGCGGGATGCCTCTCATATGTACACAGGAAATCGCATGCGCAATCTCTTTGCCATCATCCTGCTGCACTGCAACCCTACCAGCCCTGATGATCTTTGGAACCGCTTCAAGGAAAATCTCTGCGATGATCTGCATCACCGCCTCACTCACGCACCGTTCAACATGCCTGACCCCATGGAGGAACAGGTACATGACTATGGTCTTCATCTCATTGATGGGGTGCTCTGCAAAAATGGCAAGTCTTTGGAAGCAATTCCTCAAATGCCAGTAGCTCGAATGGCAGAAAGATGGGGGGCCATGGAGGGCAACCAGCTCATTGCTGAGCAGTGTCAGTATGACCCGCAGGAGCTTCAGCAGATAGTGGATGAAGGAGTCCCTTTGCTTAATGTCGAGCAGAGGGTGGTCTATAATGCTGTGGTCGAGGATGCAATGAATCGTAATCAGCAAAGACCCGGATGCGCATACTTTGTCCATAGCGCAGGGGGATGCGGCAAGACGTATCTCTGCAAACTCATCGCTTCAAAACTCCGTGCTGAAGGAAAGATTGTCCTCTGTGTGGCCTCCTCTGGAATTGCTTCCCTCCTCCTACCAGGCGGACGTACAGCTCATTCGCGATTCAAAATCCCCATTCCCATTAACGAGGACAGCTCATGCAACATTAAAAAAGGAGATGTCGTCCATGAGCTTCTCAAGGAGACCTCCCTCATCATCTGCGATGAAATTCCGATGCTCCATTGTCATATTCTGGAGTGCCTTGACCGCACGCTGTGTGATCTTCTAAACAAAGAGGCTGATTTTGGGGGAATAACCGTGCTCTTCGGCGGAGACTTTAGACAGACCCTGCCGGTGGTGACCCATGGATCCAGGGAGCAGATAGTGGGCGCTACCCTTTGCAGATCTCAACACTGGCGAAAGCTTCGTATCTTCCACCTCAAGAGAAATATGCGGCTTGGTCAAGACCCCGCCTCTGATGAATTTGCAAGGTGGCTCCTTGAGATTGGAGCTGGCGAGGGCACAAATGAAGACAGAACTGTGACCCTCCCTATTCATATGCGCTGCCCCAACAATGATGTCCAGTCTCTCATCAATGCCCTATACTCTCCAGTTCTGCTCCCTGGGCAGCCTGCAGTGGATGATTCCTTCTTCCTGGAACACACCATCCTCTCCGCAAAGAACACCGATGTGGATGAGATCAACACCACCATTCTTGAATCATTCCCTGGAGATAAAGCGGTCTTCACCAGCGCAGACTCGGTCAGCGAGAGGGAATACGATTATATCCCCACAGAGTTCCTTCATACCCTGACCCCATCAGGCTTCCCTTTGCACAAATTGGAGGTCAAAAAAGGTGTTCCCCTGATGCTGTTGCGCAACTTGAACCCTCTCCGAGGGCCTCTATAATGGAACTCGCATGATCCTGCTGTCTTGGACCGTTCGTGTCCTCAAGTGTCGCATTCTTAGAGATGGAGTCAATGAAGCTCGCCAAGATGATCGGGACACGGTCCTAATCCCTCGCATGACCCTGGATGCCACATCCTAAGATAACCCCATTCCTCTCAAGTGTCGCCAATTCCCCGTTCGTGTCGCATTTGCTATGACCATCAACAAGGTGCAAGGTCAAAGTGTCAAGTGGGTTGGGCTTAATTTGCGGACTCCTGTGTTCAGCCATGGACAGCTCTATGTTGCATTATCTCGCTGCACTCACCCAGATAGAGTGTTTGCTATCTTTCCTGAGAGTGAAGAGGGCTCAAAGACGATGAATGTAGTGTATACAGAAGTGCTTAGAAGAATTACGATTCCTGTTGGATGATTGATGTACATATGATGTACTTTTATATAGAGAACCGACTTGGATGTGATGTATCATGTAGTTTTAGTTGTGTCAAAATGCTGCTAAAAAATGTAATTGTTTTCAAAATGCACTATGATCATTAGTAAGGCAAAGTGCCGCAGGCACCTCGCAAAGGAGTGCGAAGCGCTCCTTTGCCTTGCTGTGCCTTTGGCACAGCAAGTATTCAAGGTCAAGACTTAAGACACCCAAAGTAGGATGAAGCCGAAGGCCAGGAAGCCAAAAAAGAGCGCGAAGCGCTCTTTTTTTGCTTCCTGTGCCGAAGGCACAACGGGTGTGTGCTAGTCTATAAAGTAAGGGAGAACGGTGGCGGGAGAGAACAGGTCGCTCGCGTGGTTTTCGCTTGGGTCGCTTGGGCCGCTAAGATACGCTTAGATTCGCTAAACGCCATGTGGTTTTCGCTTACCTCGCTTAAAGCTCGATTTGGAAACTCGCGTGGCTGTCACGTGATTTCGAGGGTCCGCTGCCCGTTAGGTCAGCACACATTTAAAAACATTTATTATTTATGAAATTCAAATTATATACACAATAAATTCAACTACTATAAGAAAAGAAAATTGAGAAATGGGAAATGAGAATAGGAGAATGGGGGAGATGGGAGAACAGAGAAAAAGAGGAAAATTGGAGAACAAGAGAACAGAGAACAAGAAAACAGGAGAAACAGAAAATGGAAGAATGGGAAAAATGGGAGAACAGGAAAATGGGAAAGGAGGACAACAGGACGGGAGGAGGACAACAGGACGGGAGGAGGACAACAGGACGGGAGGACAGGGGCACAGAACACCAGATACAACAGTAGATGAGAAAATACATATATTCAATTGTACTTTTACTTTTGTCAATTTGAATCCTGCTCAAAGTATGTAACTTATTTTGAAATTTTCATCACAACTGAGTGAATAAAATATAAATTATTTCAAAACCTGCAATGATTATTAAGACACCCAAAGTAGGATGAAGCCGAAGGCCAGGAAGCCAACAAAGAGCACGAAGCACTCTTTTTGCTTCCTGTACCGAAGGCACAACGGGTGTGTGCTAGTTGATCTATAGGCAGCAAAGGAGGATCTAGTCGCATCGTACAGTAAACAAGACAGTGGCGTGTAAGCCACGTTGCGCGTGTTTCAGAGTCCGACTCACCTTGCCGAATGTTGCCGCTTGGCCAGCCGAAATCCATCCGAAATCCACATCCAAATCCACGTCCAAATCGGCCTCAAAATCCAGCTTTGAACTTCGCTTGTGTGTGTGTTCGGCATCTGTGTGTAAGTAAATTTCCTGTGTGTAATTTTTTGAACTGATCCAGCGCCATATTTGAGAGGTGAGGAACTTTGACGTAGTCAATCCTACTCCCGAAGCTACACAACGGCATATACTATCCCCAGTGAGTCGTCGCCCATACAAGTCGTCACGACTTAAATATTTCTAGCATGTGCCATTCATTGCGAGATTGAACGACTGATCTTCAGGAAGAAATGGTGGAGTTCAGCCAAAGTCACGCTTGTGACTGCCAGCCGAACGTTATCTTGGCAGAGTTCTATTAATAAACCAATCCTTTGACGACTTCTGGTGTGACGACTTAGCTGTGAGGGGATGACCCAAGTTCCTTCAGACATCCATGGTAACGGCCTTCTGGGCAACGTTATCTATCCAGTCCTGTTCATGTAGAATCTCGCTAGCTTTAGTCCGTCCCGTTAGCCCGCCCCACGCTTTTGTATTCACAAGCCATCGAGGTCGTCCTAAGTTCCAGGTAGTATATTACATTCTCTGTTAAAAGGCACTGTAATGTCAGTCGCCAGCCACCTCCATGACTTTCTTGACACGTGCGGAGGATCGGTGGCAGCCAAGTACTACCAGGCAGCAGTGCGGAGAGTGGGAACCCGGAGCCGACAAGTTCACTAAGGTTATCTGCATGGCACGAAGCGAACCAGACAGGATCAGCATTTTATGTGGCTATGAGACGGATGTGTGTCCGAAAGAATCGCGCTAGGCTGACAGGCAAAGCACTGAAACACAGTACGCGACGCCACCTTCAAACAATGTTATCCTGGACCAGGCGAGCCAGAATGTCGAATGTGGCACTTTCGACAGAGACAGCACCAGCTGGAGGAAGGTAGGTTGCGCGGCTCAAGGCGTGAATTGCAAGGGTCATCACGCACAGAGAGTGGGTTGCAGTAGCAAAAACATCCCAGTGATACATTGGGTAATACGAGGGATCATGAAAACCTGGGTAGGAAGGTATTTCACGCGCAACATCATGCGGTGGACAGTCAACTGCTCATCAAGTGCACTTCGAAAAAAATTGCGAGAGATCTGAGGAAACAATGAGCAAGAAAGCAACAACCAGTACAGGAGATGACTTACAACAACTTAAACTGGGAGGACACGACTATAATAAAACCAACCTGGCGTGATGAGCGAAGGCCCGAAGGACCTGAACCTTGTCAAAAATGGGATTCCTGAGTGCTGAACCACAAGTATAGTATCGCTGCCTATTCCTCGTCGGGTCCATAAACCTGTTTGGACGACATTGACAGATTAATACGTGTGATTAAGTTGGGTCTGGGTCTTGAAGCTTAAGCTTTGAAGTCACGGGTACTCATGAGCTGGTGCGAAGACAAAGCGCTAGTAGTAAATCACATTGTTTACTTCAATAATACCATGTATTTACTATACTTGTACCATCTCGTCATCCGAACAACCCAGACTTTCAGGCGAGCAAGATCATTGACAATCACTTCACCAGTGACCACGAACTTTTTAAATAATAATATTCACCTGATACCTGTTCACGAGCATTGGTTGGAGCTGTTCTCCTTGAACGTGTCAATTCGATCTAATGTAGCACACAGTTGATGTCGCAGCCCAATGCGAAGAGGGCGCCAACTCCGATGCGAACAGCAGCTCCCCTTGCTCCACGCGACGCGATGGCCGCCTCGCAGCAAGGTCACATAGAGAACCTAGTGCAGAAGAGTCGAAATTTGGAACACACCATCAAGAAGCTGAACGATGAACTCAGCCTTGAACAAACACGCACCAAGGACACTGTTAATACTCTCAATGCCGTAAGACAACAATGGCGAGCAGAGCAAAAGGAGTGGCACGCTGGTTGCGATGCTTTGCAGGCGTGCCATACAATTGCCCATCTCAGGACGGCATGCTCTTTGGACGACGAACGAATCGCAGTGCTCAAGGAGCGCGAAATTGCACGGCGCGAGAGGCTTGCGCGTATACAAAGGGATTACAAGATCACCATGTTTCAGGCTAGGGAGGCAGAATTGGAGAGTCAAATAGAGGACCTCCAGGCCGATCTCGACTCTCGAGCGGCTCAAACAGAGTCTTTTCTTAAATCTCGGGATCAAAAGTATCAGAAGACTATCCTCGACTTACGAACAAGAGAAGCAACGCTTTCATCTGAGTTGAAGCTGAAGTCGGACGAAATTGTAGCAGCTCATAAGCAACGCGAAGATATCGAGGTCTGCTCTTTCAGTGCCAATCTTCTCATAAATGATCGGTGGTCTAACCTACTGGTAGGATGAACTACGGCGACTACGAGAAGCTCAAGCAGACGCAGACGCGACGACTGTTACAAATGTGTCCAAACTTTCCCGGATAACTGTGCAACGTGATGGTCTACAAGCGAGGGTGACTCAACTCGAGCGGGAGCTTGAGGATCTCAAGGATAATAATGCCAAGTTACAACGTCAACTTGACAATTGGCAAGGCTTGAAGAAAGGTGATGACGCGGATATAGAGATATTGAGGAAGAAGAACGTCGAGTTGGAGGTTCAATTAAGGGAAGCGAATGCACTGACTCAAGAACGTGACAAAGCGCTCGAGAAGGAGAAAGGTCGCACTGCTAAACTTAAGGAAGTCCTCCATGAGTGGAAGGTCAGATTTTTTCTCAACCTGTCACGTTGCGATTGATTGTTTTATAGAGCGAAGCTGGGGAGCAGGACACACTCCGGAAACAGGCTGTTGATGAAGCTACAGATGCAAAAAAGGCAGCAGAAAAACTTGAGCAAGAGATATCAGACCTGAGGGCTCAGTTAACTGCCGCGCTCAAGACATCTGCTGCTCCAAAGGTGGGGCAAACTTTCATGCGCCTATGCCATATTCTCAACACATAATAACCTTACTAGAGCAACACAACGCCTGCGATCCCTTTGGCACCAGAGGATGAGGCCGATCAAACTCGCCCGAAACCGAAACCAAAATCTAAACCAAAACCAGCCAAGCGCTCGAAGTCAGTTGACAGCGACCTTGAGTTGATTGAACTTTCCGCCAAAGCAAAAGGGAAACGGAAGGCACCTCGTGATGACAGTGCCGATGAACGGCCTGCAGCAGAGAAACCAAAGCCTGCACGGGCAAAAAAGGTTGCCTCCACGTCAAATGAGAAGGCACCAAAGAAACGTACCCTTGAATCTGAAGCCAAGAACCAGAAGAAAGCTGCCGAGTCGTTGCAAACAAAGGCATCAAAATCTGCTGTTGTTGCAGATAGTGCTGCAGAAGACGACCAAGATCCGGCACCTAAGAAGAAGAAACGGAAACTCAATGTAGGCATCTTCCCTTCTACGCAACAACACCCTCCGGTGTTTCACTGGGACCAGGTGCGTTATACGGTTCTCTAGCTGATGGTTCGCTGAAATTTTGGGGTTCAATCATCCGCAGGGTGAAATCGGCCTAGGAATCCCTACCGAGCTGTCGCCTGTGAAAGATGCGCCACGACGATTACATCCATCAAGCACAGGTCCAAGTTTCGCCAAAACTCGCGGATGAAGTTTGTCCCAGCGCGGCAGCTGACTGAAGTCTTTGATGTGATCGATGAACGTCATGCTTGACTCTGAATCCTTCTCGATAGGAAATGCGGGGTGACTGTTGGGTGACTGTTGGGTGACTGACGAGTTGTTAGTCATAGTTCTACGGGTCAAAATGTGCTAATGAACCCGCAAACGGCGCGCTGTAGGAAGGCGAGTGAAGTATGATCATTTCAGGAATTTTATCTTTAGACTCAATAGTAGCTTGTAAACAAGTTTCCTTGCTGACTTTCGAGACAAGTGCAAAAGAACTTCGCATTTTTACAACTCTCCCACATAAGTTCAAGCATTGAAGTAACTAACGGATCTATTCGCTGGCATTCGCATTGCCCCAGATAAGAGTCACATACATTTATGGGGCATGGTAAAGTGTAATATGAGGGCAAAGGGAAAGGAAATTTGTCGCCACATCATGAAACTCCTCTCAACGTGGATATTCGTGATTAGAGTGATTAAAGAGGCTTTCCTCTATAGACCATCCTGTGATAGACCACACGGTGCCCCCATTCCATCGGTGAGCGGAACGCTTCCTAGAATGAGTGGTGAGAGGTGGTCATGTAAACGGTGAAAAATTTGAAGTACCGCTTCGAGGAATTTATAGGCCTCGGAAGATGCCGGTGCCAAACGCATTTCTCGGTTACCGCAAAGTTAGTACTAATAAGTCGGTGCAGCCTGAGGCAAGTTGGTAGGACGGCCAATTGGTATTATGAATTCTGTGCGATTTTCGATGGACCTTATCTACCGCCAGGTCAGCTACTGGTTGGATTGCCTGCTACTCAAATGGGTGCCTCCATCTCTCCCAGCGATGCAACTTGGGCCTGGTGGAAGCTCTCAAAATCCTACGATGGTGAGTTGTCGGTTGCAATTTGCATGTCGAAATGCTCATTCAAAATGGATCCTTCAAAGGTACAATTTTTCACCTGGAATGCCCGGCACCCAGACATGAGCTGGTGGGAACATCTTGCGAAGGAGGCCTCGCACTTGGCCGAATTGGGGTTCACGCAGATCTGGCTCCCTCCGCCAAACAAAGCAATGGAACAGGTGAGAGTCGGGAGTTCTGATGATATGTTCACAATCCTATTGTACTACGGTTGCTGTAGACGGGCCGAGGGTATGACGCTTATGACTTGGTACGATGTCCCGTGACACTTGTTCCAACACTTGTACAGACGTTCGTTTAGTGGGATCTTGGTGAATTCGACCAGAAAGGCTCCGTTGCTACACGGTGGGGAACAAAGGAAGACCTTTTGAGAGCTTGTGATACTGCGAGGCAATGCGGTATGAACGTTATAATCGATGCAGTTCTCAATGTGAGGCTATTGGATACATTTTATGAGTCTGTGCTCACTCTGTCGTGCACAATGGTACATAAGCACAAACTCGGTGCAGACAGATCGGAGACCTTTCGCGCTGTGCGCGTCGATCCATTGAATCGGTTGCGGGATATTGAGAACGAGAGACCAATCAAGGTATGATTCTCCTCCCCTACTTTGGAGACCTTTTTAATATCATCTACAGGGCTGGACTGCATTTGATTTTCCTGGACGGCTTGGGAAGGTAATGCAATACATTGTAATTTCATTGCCTAGAGGTAAACATATAAGCCAGTATAGTAGCATGCGGTGGAATTTTAATCATTTTACGGGTCAGTCCGTGTTTGACCTTCTTTGCTTTCTATGACTGAAATCGTTGAAGGGTTGGACTGGGATGAGCTCACGCAAACCAATGGCATATTTCGCATTTCTTCCGAAGGACATCAAGGTTGGTCAACGTGGGTAGATACTGAGAATGGGAACTATGATTATCTCCTAGGCCTCGATGTTCGTCGTGGCTTTTCGTTGATTTGTTCATTCTAATTATCTACCCGGGAACTATAGATTGACCATCATCACCCTGAAGTGCGGGGTGATCTATTTTCATGGGGCTCGTGGATCCTTGACGTGCGTCTTATCTCCATCGCTTCTTACATGATCTTTTGAAATCATTCTAGACCACAGGCGCCTGCGGGTTTAGACTGGATGCCATCAAACACATGGACCGCAGGTTCCTTCTTGAGTTTGTAAGCGGGTGTTCTTTCTTTCTTTGATTCACCTTGTGACGGAGCCGCTTTCCTATTGAAGATCGAAAGAACTCGGAATCACCCAGGCAGGAAGCGGCTGTTTGCGGTATCAGAGTACTGGTCAGCGAAGTAGGTCCATCCTGTATTGCGTGATTTACAGGCCCCCTGAACGAGAGCAGCTTGCAATCTATAATACCATATATTCGGGCGTTCCATGGCCAGGTGTGTATCCCATTACATCACTGACTCGGGGTTAACGGCAACAGACCTCTTTTTTTGACGTTCCACTACACGAGAACTTTCATAGAGCAAGCAAAGCAGGTGCTTCTTACGACCTAAGGACCATTTTTGAAGGTTCTCTGGTAAATTTGAGGCCAGAAGATGCTGTCACCTTTGTTGACAATCACGAGTGAGTGCTGGTACTAGACATCTACTGTTCCATGAGTAACTGTTTTTTGTGGTAGCACGGTAAGCAAAGCGTTTGATGACCGCACACGATTTAGTCAATCATTGTTTCAGCAAGTTGGCCAATCTCTGGAGAGCTGGGTAAGCCATTCGCATTCCTTTCTTTCGTGGATTCCGAATAATTTTAATTAGGTGGACACCAACTTCAAAGCTCAAGCGTACGCTCTCGTCCTACTGCGATGTTACGGATATCCGTATGTACCATGTCGCTTAAACACCGGCCCTAACACGAATCTCATGGCAGATGCATTTTCTATGGTGACCTGTATCCTAATGATGAGTGCTTTGACGAGCGCACCTCCCGCATTCTGAAGAAGTTACTCCTTGCGCGGAAATCATTCGCATATGGACCTATGGTAGATTACTTTGAGCACAGAAACTGTATTGGGTTCGTACGCATGGGCGATTCCGATCATGCTGGGTGTGTAGTTGTGCTCAGTAATGACCCGATGTGAGTTTCTTCGTGTCTTTTGCGCATGCTCATCTCTTAATCACTTCCTCGAGGCTGGACCTGACTATGTCCAAAGTTCGAATGAACGTCGGCCTAGTACGTACCCATTATAAATTGTACGTATAACATTTGCTCATCCCTTGTATTCTCCAGCACCAAGGAGCAACGTTCCACAGCTTCTTTGACGATACTCGAACTGTTGCAATTGACCATGACGGTTGGGGAGCATTTCCTTCTTCAGAGGACTGTGTTGAGGTCTGGATCAAAACTGAAGAAAATCAATAATTAATAGTCCCAACAGACACTAGTACTCTAGTACTTTCTTATGTCCAAGTGAATAGGGCCTAAAATACAATATCGTGATGATGGTTCCCCTTTTATTTAACAATTGTGATGGCAGACTCTTCAGATTGTCTTTCGAGATGCGAAGGTGGTCTGAAGACACTGCTCTGCACTCTACTGTATTCTTGAAGCTCGATATGCGAAGGTGATCCGAAGGCACTACTCCGCGTACTACTGGTTTCATGAATTTCGAAATAGTTGTCTGTGGCATCTTTCTCTAGACGGGGTAGTCTAGGTCCATATTGAGATACTCTGGCGAAAGATGTGCGTTCTGGAGTGTTCTGAGGAGGTCTCATGCCATCAAATAATGCACCGGTTTCTTCCAGAGTACGACCTGAAGAAAAACCTCAGAGCGCTCCACAAGCCACAACAACAATAAAATTCACCTCTCGTCTCAATAATGAACACCATCACAAATAATAGCTCCAGACAGAGCCATCCACAGTAAACGAGGTACTTTGCGAGATATTTGTCAATTAGAAAATCGAACGAGATATGACTCACGTATTTCCACCCTATGGCGTCGAGTGCCCACGGATTGATGAACACGTTGAAAGTATTGGAAAGATAGGCAACAAAGGCCTGTACAAAATGTTAGACAGTATCAAAGACGAGTCACAAAAGGTCCAACCATGATTGCAAGTCCCCTGGCGCGAATATTGTAAGGCAGAATCTCGAGTGTATACGAGACAAGCATTGGCGTATATGCAAAGTCATAAAAGAAAAAGAACAGAAATATGAGCGGTACAGTAGCTATTCGTGCTTGATTAACAATCGCATCAAGTACAACAAGGTTTCGCACTTACCTTTCACAGCTGCGGTACTCCCGGTCTCGTGGAAAATAGCAGTGGTAACTGTCCACATTGAGAAGACTATCCGGAGGATACAATAAGCGATATTCTCGAAATTAGCATGATGTCACAGAATAGCACTGACCGATCAACATTCCGATATTCGAAGTCAGGAACAACTTCCTTCTGCCCACCTTGTCCACGAACATTGTGCCCAATAGAGCACTAGCGAGATTAAAAACCTATATACGCAAGATAAGTATCAACCCCGGCTCCTGAGAAACCATGCCAGATGAACCTGTAGACATCCGTTAATTATTGTTTTTGTCCGAGTCGTCGTTATGCCGCTGTTGAAATCTCAGCCAATGTACCACCATACAGATCCAGGGAACATACATCCCGTCCAAAACAATGTTGATGTAAGACGAGACTAGACCATTGCCACTGAAAGGGAGCATCAATTCTTGTACCAAACTAGAACGAGCTTGGCCAAACCTCCACTGTGAGAATACTGCAATAGATATAACGATAAACATGCGTCGTCTGTTACCAGGAGTTGCAAAACACGTCAGGTAGGATGGACTGAAGGCGATCTCTCGTTCAATGTTCAGAGCATGTCGGATTTGAGCCATCTCGAATGCTACTAGGTGGTCACTCTGGTTTGGCCCATCCGCATGGTACTGAGCGAGGACACGCGCGGCTTTCGATTCCTATCAGAACAAGAACAAGAGCAGAAAGCTCGACCGATGAATTACAATCGACTAGGAAAATTACTCGCGAATGCTCACCAGACCTTGAGCGGCTAGAAATCGAGGACTCTCCGGGATGAACCTAAACACAATCAAAAATGCTGAGTCGCTCTGAGCAATCCAAAAGCCAAAAATACAGACCAAACCAACGTCATTTGAAGGACAGGAACAGTAGCTTGAAGAAATACAGGGACTCTCCATGACCATTCTGATGCCCCTGCTCGATCATAAGCGACAAGGCAGATCCAGGACGCTGCAATACATGTGAGAAAATAATTACAAGGAACTGGATGTTACATACAGATAATGCTGCCAAAATACCACATCGAATTGTATAAAGCAGTCAATTTTCCACGCTTAAATGATATCAGAGACAATTAATAACAGACAAGGTGATTGAACATACATGTGTTGGATAACTAAGTTCGCTGATGAGCAGGGGAGCAGCATTGACGGAGAAAGCTGTGCCTATGCCAACTACAAGATAAGTATCAGCATCCGAACCACTCCGTGAATGGGAGTCTTACTGAGCACACGAGCGCCAATGAATACTTGCACGTTGGTGCATAAGGCTTGCGTGAGGACACCAGCTAGAACGATGGTTGCTCCAATGAACATAGTTGCTCGTCGTCCTAGCAAGTCAGACACAAAAGGGGTAAATGGAATTCCCTGAAACCAGAGTGAGCTAGGAGTCATGTCAACGAACTGCCACAGCTTACGCTGACAGCGCCAATGCCTTGAGCAGAATTTATGAGGCCTAATAGTTGTGAATAGAGGATTACAGGAATGCCAGAACTGCATACCCAAGGTTTTTCCCTGGGGATTATGGAAGTATTCTTGCCATCTTGGCAAAATCTGCAGACCTAAGGAAACTTGAGTGGACCATATGATAGTGAATGCTTATGACCGACCGTTTAGTATGGATGAATCAAGGCCATTCAGTACTGATGATAGTACTGGTAATATCAAATAGATATTTAACACCAGGAGCCCTGCGCGCCGACATTGTCAAGCAAATTATTTGTTTCCATGCGCTCAGCAAAGCTCGTACCACGATTCCTCCACCACGACTCTCGATGAATAAAATCTGAAATCGTGTATTCCGGGATTGCCATCGATGAAGACCTTAAATTGACAAATAATTCGGGGGAAGGGAAGAAAGGTTGAAGGTGATTGATTCTTGAGGTATCGTGATATATTGTACTAGTATATGCTTACCACCACTTTTCAACGATCAAGCGCAAGGGTCGTCTCGAAGCCTTAACTTTAACCGTGTCAGACATACTTGGGGTAAAACAGAGATGAAATTGCGCAATTCGGAACATTACTTCCCGAAGGAAAGACGTGGTGAGAACGAAGGCGGCGAGTAGGCGGCGGCTCAACTGTTGATGCACCCTATGCATCCAAACCTTAGAAGTAAGGCCATGACAACCCGCTGCAACCAGGTCCAGAAGGCTGACGTATTTGTATTTGGTGCAACCGCTAGCAGTAGGTAATGTTAGTTTTACCCTGTTGCCCCACGATCTTGCTGTAAAGGTTAAGCGCAGCGAGCGAACAGCTAGACAGCCTCCGTCAGTCCGGATTTGTCAAGTGGACATGGTCCTAGACTGTGGTCATAAATGTTTTGACTTGGATTCATTAGACTGGAATATGATAAGACATATTTACCGTAGGTCAGGCCCAGGGAAGCGACGGCCGCGGAACCATATCCGGCGGGGCCAAGACTCGTGCTAATTTTCTGTTGGTTAATGGAAATAGTTGAGGAGATATTCCAACTCCCCTTTCCTGTCGCGATGGTGGTCGATGGACCTAAATGTTTTTGCCCTACAAGCCGGTGCCCGGATTATGGACAGTGAGCCTATCTTCGATCGAGTCACAGTAATTTGGTAGTGAATTTGCTATAATTCACAGAATATTAGCCTATCGGTCAACTGGATAGAACTCACGTATGTAAATTGTGGTGGATAATATGTTTGTCGGCTTGAAAAAAGTTAGATGCGAACGTATAACGTTGCTGCTAGCTGTGAAAATTTGGATTATAACCTTACCCGAGCCTGAGGCCTGAGGTCCTGGTCCCTTAACTACTAAATTTTAGAAGTAAGTACATATGGCAATATTACATTTTTTTGCTGGCCTCCAGCTCTTCTTTTTCACTGACTGGCTGGGCGATTGTGCCTCTGCTTGTCACCAGCTAGGTACTGAAATAGTCAACAGCTCGCGATTATGCTTCAGACGATTCGTTGATTTTGTTGTTGCAGGCTCTCAGACTCATCACAGCTAGAATGATCGTACGACTGAGTCTCGGCAACGCCCGATGTAAGCTCGGCCTTCGAGTTCCTCCGAGCGAGCACTGACCGTGAGCAGCTTTTTCAGAAATTCCATCGCACAGAACCCTGACTCGGAGTCATTAAGAAATTTGAACTCATCAAAAGACAACCTACTACCAATAATCGTTATTCACATCTTGCTGTTGTATACGATTGGTTCCTTTCGCAGTCCGCTCGAGGGGCACGACTGCTTTGCAGCCGTTCAAGGTGTTCCCTCTCGGCTGGAGACTAGTATCCTGAAGGAGTCGACTCGGCCGCCGGGAGCCAAGCTGCTTCTCCTTCAGGTCAACCCGTCGGCTCGCCTCGGATCGGTGATATTGTGTTTGAATCCGCCGATGATAGGTGTAAGAGCATTGACCTCAGTGCTTCGACGGTTGCGTGTCAACAAGCTCAACAATATTATGGAATTCGCAACGTGTGTTTTTACCTGACTCTTATAATCTGACGTCAGCATTACACAGAATTGTATTTGTATACTTGGCCGGACAAAGAATACTACATGAACATTGCGTTCGACGCATCAATACATGTCGACCGGCAGCTCCCCGCACTCGACTGATCATGCTCAGGCAACATAACATGTTCTCTGAGCCGGCATTGCACGTATCCTTCCTTGACCTCGGCAGCCGCGTGATCGAGAGCCATTTATACCTTCTCCCAACGATCAAGTGTCATGATGTAGTTCGTATTGTCTCGACCTCGATAACGTATCTTGTTCACATTTCGATTCATCCCTGCCAGTGCGTATCACGGGCGCGATCATCCGTAGCAGTTCGTGCACGTGGGGCACCTTTGAAATATTTATCCGATGATTCCTAGCTGAGCGGCTGAACTGTACCCCGCGTGGTATGATGAACTTGTGGGATGCTCAAGGCCGTACTGCGATCAACCGGATACAAGGCAAATCATTAACTTTACTGGCCAACTTACACACTAGACCTAGATCTGTGCAGCAAGAGCATGCTGCCCTACCTCACTACCTGCGCGTGGACACCAACACCATACTGTCAGGCTCTGGCCCAGAGTTGCAACAAGTTTCAACCACAACATTAAAATAAGTAAACAAAGGAGCACATGATTCAGTACATACTCTAATGCTATGTAAAAATAAGATAAAGAAATCTGTTAAGGCTACGGTGTGAAACAGAGAGCTGAAAAAATTCTCTCCCACATAGAAGTCTCTGTTTCACTACCGGCAAACGAACTTCAACTCCGAATTCATTGTGATTTGCGACTGGCCAAAGATAGTACTGAGTCCGTTTGCTTGATGGGTGCAATTCGGGCATTGCGGGGAAACTGACATTTTACCACCCAGTAAAATTATATTCAGAGGTGCTTGACGCACTGCACTGGCTGCTTTTGATTGAAGTCTCGAGGTAAATGTTGAAACCCCAACATGAGACTAAAATGTCTTTGTTTCATTGAAGCCTTGGTTGCGCCGGTTGAATCGATGCGCAGTGCAGTCGTATGTACATAGTCAAATTAAAACTCATTTGAACCCCGGCCTCACATATGCACATGGTTGCCCCACGGCACAAAAATCTATCTTGAGCCCGTATCTCCTCAGCCTGTTGAGTTGTAGCCACCCCCTCCTACAGTCTATGGGGACGTTTCTGGTGATTTAATTGGCTCTAGCTTGAAGGATTCCGACATTCATGAACCATTTCACCCCAGCCCATCAACAATACTAACTTGCTGAAGGACAATGTACATTTGCCAAATTCTGATTGCGTCTAGATTCAAACGATAAGGCTGGGAAGTTGTACCGCAGTATCGCGACACTCCTGGGAATTCCGCAAATGAACTCAGTAAACAAAAACAACACCTAACTATCAAAATGCACACAAAATCATAGATCATTCGGACAATGAGAAACAACACACTGCACAACAGCAGCTCTCGAGTATCCGAAAGTAAAGCGCCAGTCAAAATGTCTCTATGTAACAAAAGAACGACTGAAGGCGAAGACCGAAGTTTTGAAGCAATAAGCACCTAAGCCCACGGTCGCATGAGGGAATGTAAACATCAGTATGGGTAATACTCCAATACTCCTAAAAAGCAGACAGCCTAATGTACGTTGTAGATATCGCAGGTAGAATGATTAGCAAAAGAAAACTCGTGAATGTCTCTGGAGGTCCTTCGACTGGTATCGATCTTTCCATGTCAGAGCAATTCTAGAAAAGCAAGGCAGCAACAGCGGCACCAGCAATACCGGCAGCGCCAACGCGGATAATGTTGGCAGAGGCAGCAGAAGAACCTGTCGTCGAAGCTGAACCGGCAGCAGTAGTCGCGGAGCTTGCAGTACTACAGGATATGACGTCAGATCACGTGGCAACTTGACAACAACCTTAACTCACGTATGAGTAGTACCGGCGGCAGTACCAGTGGTAGCGATGCCAGTGGTAGCAGGAGTAGTACCACTCGGTAGAGCAGCACTAGTTGCGCCAGTCGGACCAGCGGAAACTGGACGATATATTAGTAGGGCGACAGATTGTGACATACAACAAGAGACGTACGCGACGTGGTGTTGGTACATGTAGTTGAAGCTATGCCAAGGTTAAATAAAACCTAAGCAACCGATCAACAAGATCAACTGAAACACGCACATCCAGGGTTCACGGTGAACGGCGCAGACTGCGCAGTCAAACCAGTGCTGTCGCGGAGGGTGAGACCAAGAGATGTCCCGGACTGGATGTTGCAGACCCAGGTCACTGAAGTGCTATTTTGCTGTCCCAGATTTTCAACAGCAGCACCATTGGGGGTCGCACCAGGTAGAATGCTGAAATTACGTTAGTAAAATGTGATGCGCATGCAAAATGAAGTCATTACCTCTGTAAAAGATAATAAAATAAAATTCGCTGCAAGTCAATGACTGACAACCATGTTTATAGGACATCACCGACCAGGAAGTAGGGAGCTAAAACATAGTCAGTCAGACACGGAAGACTGCAAATTAGAGCAACTTACCAGTTCCACCTGACCACGTCAGGAGGGTGGGTTGACACTCAACAACGTTGGCACTGTTCCGAGAAAGTAAGAAGACCTTGACAACTCAAGGTGCATGCGTAGAATAACTTACGGGGTGTTGATTGTGAACTGGGCAAGAGTACTAGCCACGAAGAGCGCGAGGTAGCTAACAGAGAACTTCATCATGAACTTGCTTGTCGTTAAGTTGAATGAGGACGAAGGAAGTTGAACTGCGTGGAAAAAAAAAGTTGTAGATTTATTTATCTGCCCGACTCTGTTTATTATGTTAATATTTACATCATCAACTAGCTTCCAAACATGCCACGCCAACTCCACCAATCATAAAGCTTTAAAGTATTGTGAACAAAGTAAGCTGTGCTCCTCCAAATCCTTCGACCCATGAATAACTTCAACCAAATTTCTCACTAGCCACTCATGCCTACTAGTACTAGAATCAATTTTGAATTTTCCTTCAACACCCAACTTTCTTTGAATCGTTGTTCGGAATGCCGTTGATAGCGTAAAAATACATCAGATAGGGCCAATTCGTGTTACGTCCGCAGTTCCTGGTATACGTCAATGTTTTGGTCATGACATTGCACCCCGCCAAGTCTCACCAACATTATTTCATCAATCTTCCCGCACAATGTGCACGCGTGTTACCAGCCCATAGTGGTCGCTCACCCATTTGTCCCTCCCAATCGTCTCACCAATCCCTATCCTCTCTGGCTGATCCACAACGAAACCTTCTTGTCCAGTGGTGAGCACCTTGTCTAACCTTCCAGGCGGTAATCGCCCCGCAGATTGGTATCCCCAGGTAAAACCTTCCTCATCATCGTTATCACCTTCCCAGGCATCATACAGTCCGGCTGCCTCCACGATAGTCTCGTCAGCAGGACCGATAGCATTCATATCCCCTGCCACAATACCCCCGAACATTCCCCTCCCACGCAATGCAGTTGCAATGAGTTTCAATTGCCTAGGCCGTGCTCCGGCCCCTTCTGGCATCGATTCAAGATGCGTGTTTGCAACGCGCAGGGTAATGATGCCTCCTGATAGGCGAGGTTCGTCTTCGTGAGCAGGAATGCTCAGTTTAATATCAACGAATATGGCATTGCGTTTCATCTTAGAATTGCTGAATGCGATGGTGGAGACATTGACCACGGGGATTGTGCGAGAGACTAGTGTGACATTTCCGTACACTGCTTGATCTGGCCACTTGTCCACGCTAGCGGGAGCAACTACGAAACACCGTCGCACCCATTCGGCATTGAGGATCTCTGCGAAAACTGACACATGTACCTCCTGTAACATGATGCAGCATGGTTCAGGCCGTTCACTAGTGGTCCTGCAGTCAAGAACATGTTGCTGGATGTAGGAGAGGGCGGCAAGGAGCCGTTTCTTCTTATCGGAAGCTGTGAAGTCGAGGTTCCATGTCACGAGGCGGACGGTAGATGGTAGGGGCTCCCTGACGCCTCTGGCGCAGTTGGAAGTCTGCGCCCAACGCTTTTTGCGAGATGAATAACGCACTGCGCGAAGCGGTACTTGGGCATCTGCCTCTTGCCGCACCGGACGCATTCTTACTTGCAGGGGAGGAGCTTCATCTGGCTCCGTTTCATAGAAGTCGGAGGGTGGGGAAGGTATGAACGATTCATCGATATCAGACATCGTCGATGGAGTTGTGAGATGGATGGATGGTTTATCGAGTCCTGATCAAAGTGACGATGCGCTACAGTGGGCAAGAAGTGTCGTACAGATGATCCACTATCACGGTGGTTAGATGGGGCCCATCCGGTTTCAAGAAATAAGTAGTCACGCAATCCATGGTGATCGGTCGTAAAACTGTCCTCGAGGCTCCTCGAGGCCTTCTATTTTTTCGATGTCAAGTGCAACGTGCCCTTCAGAAATTGGAACCGAGTCCTGTTTTTAGTACTTTGCCAGCGTCTAGAAATTACGATAGATCCGAAAGCATGATTATCCAGGTACTATTGTGGTGGAAATCACCGAAACCCGGCTTTCTGACTTTCTAGAGGCTGACGAGTATAAAGCTCAGATTATAGATAGCACCAAGATAGCACTGGGTATAACATATGTGTAGGTCCTTCATTAGTTCACTACCAAGCATACGCAAGACAGATAAGCATGCAACATCAAAGCTCAGCCGTGGCTCTGCCGATAACACTCTCAACTTTTTCCTGTGCCTCCTCTAACTTTTTGGCAACGAATGCACTCAGAACGTTGGCCTTCATTTTGATCTCATCGAGCTTGGCAGGTGACATCGTGCGCTTGGAGAGGATAGAAGCGAGGCTGATAAAGAGATATATCGGACCATGATCAGTTGAACGCCCACAATGCCTAGTAGCTTACCGCTTAGACTCCTTCTCGATATAGGATTCTTGGTCGTTTACGACTTTCTCCATCACACGGATATAGTATTTTGCCGTCTCGCCGAGCGTCTCGGAGAGAGTCAAGGCCTCTTTATAAATATAGTCACGAGCGTCACCAGCAGCGCCCAGGAACTTCTGGGCAAGGGTGTCAAGTTCCGCAATACGTCCAGCCTGCACTGTGTCAGGAAAGGTTTTGATTACCGGTTTGCACGTGACCCACCTCGTCATTGAGACTGCCACCAACGGCGCGATGAGTTCCGCAGTGCTCGTTGAGGAAATCAACGAATGCCTGTTCAGTGCGAGGGCCTTCGTAGGCCTCGACCTCCTTTCCGCCACGAGGGAAAAACTTGATGGTAGGGTAAGATGACACTCCGTAGCGACCAGCAATCTCCTTGTTCTGTTGTGCATCCGCGTCAATGTTGGCAACAACACACTACAAAAAATATGCTGATTAGCTGAAACAGCAAGAAGATCATCGGACAGTACGCACATTGCTCTCTGATTTGAAGTCAATCGCAACTTGTATGCAAGTATTAGAGAAATTATCAGAGAAATAGAAACCGACGCTTACCTTGTTCGTAGACTGGTTTAAGGTTCTTGCAATGCCCGCACCATGGCGCGGTAAATGTGACAAGAACGTCTTTTGTCTCGTCCAATGCAATATCATCAAAGGTGTGAACATCAAGGATCAAAGTTTCGGGGGGCGGTGGGGGCTTGATACTCGATTTTACACCGGACTTCGAAGTGATGCTGAAAGAAAGCATTAGCATGAGGTCACATAGATGTGGTGAGCGCACAAAGAAGCAAGTGCATCAAGGTCTCGGCCGCCTTCGTAAGGCTCACTATTGCCTTTCTCGTCAAACCACTTCAAAGCTGTATGCAGATACTGAGTAGGGTATTCATATAAATTTTATGTTGAAACTCACTGGGGTATCCGGTGACACCATATTTTTGTCCTAAAGGTTTACCGACGCCATCGGCATCAACTTTGGCGACAGTAACTTTACCCTTTGCGTGCGCAAAGGCATCTCCAAGTTGCTCGTATATAGGAGCGAGGTTCTGGAATAAGCGTAAGTATTTTGCTCTCGTGTTATTACAGGGGCATATGCCTTGCAGTGACCACTACATCACGAGGTGTTCATCAACTAGGGTTCCCATGAGAGTGCAGAACACAACGTACCACCAAGGGGCAAAGCTGGGAATCAATATTTAGGACAGGAGTTTTTAGCAAATACCGCGGCGAGCTCACAATTCAACCAAACCAGGCTTCCCCTTGCCAATTTCGCTGTCAAAATTGTCCGGGGTGAGTTCAAGAACGTTGGAAGCACCGACGCCAGCCAATAGTCCCGCAAAAAGAAGCGACAGCGACAGCTTCATGGTGTTGATGAAAGGGTACTGAGAGGCGACGTGGAGCTTGAAAGTCTAGGTCAGAATAATGCTATGCCTTAGTCAGCGGCTTATAACCACGTGGTTTCTCGTGATCATTTTCTAGTGTAATTAATCAGCGCGAGATTTCTCAGCAATATAACACTGTAGGCTCATCCAAAACAACGCCGACCATAACGCTCTGATACCATTAATGAATACAGCCCAGGAAGTAGCAGAATACGGTTCAGATGAAGAAGGGGACGTATTCATCGACTCGGGCGATGTTCTCGCAGAGGTTCCCGATGACGGTGATCATCCTATGGATGAAGATGATGAAGCAGAAGACGGGGTTACCGATCTTCCATCCGGGGATTCTGATGTGAAGGACAACTCGCTGCAGCACTTTACCACTCACAACGGCTCTGTATTTGCTATATCATGTCATCCCACGGAACCGCTCGCAGTCTCCGGGGGTGAAGATGATCTTGGATACATATGGGATATAACGGATGGAGAAGTTATTGTGAAACTGACTGGACACGTGGATAGCGTATGCAGCGCGTCTTTCAGCAGCGATGGTCAGATGGTTGCGACTGGTGGAATGGATGGGAAGGTGAGGATATGGAGAAGAGTTGGTACAACGGACTTCAGAAACTGGGAGTTCTTGACTGAACTTCAGGGACCGGATGAAGTGATTGTAGGTGTATCAGTAAACTCCTTGAACTATTCTCAAATAATTCAAATCCAGTTGCTACGGTGGCATCCCCGTGGAACAATTCTACTCGCAGGCTCCAATGATTCTACGGTTTGGCTGTGGCAATGTATGTCAACGATATACCAGTCCCCCTTGATATACTCACGTTAACAGTGCCATCGGGAAATACTATGCAGGTATTCGCCGGACACAGTGGTCCAGTTCAATGTGGGGAGTTTACGCCTGATGGTAAGTCCGACGTATTGAAGCCCAAAAATATCACCATTTTTTTGGTTTACCAGGCAAGCGGATAGTAACTGCCTCTGAGGACGGAACTCTCATATATTGGGATCCGCGATCATCAACTCCATTGTTCAAACTTTCACCACAAGACGCCCGTTTTGATCTTGAGAACATTACATCTCTTGCGATAAATGCTTCTTCTACGCTCGCAGTTGTCGGTGGAACATCTGGGAGCGTGCGTGTAGTAAGCCTCAGCAAGGGTGAGGTCGTCGGTGCCCTTGGAGGACACACTGAGGGGGAGAGCGTTGAAGCTGTGCAATTTGTCGATCTCACTGGAACGGGAAGTAGCCCTGGTGTTGTAGTCACTGGGGGAACGGACGGAAAAGCGTGTGTATGGGACCTCAGCACAATGAGACTCCGTGCAACTCTCGAGCATCAGGTAAATTTGATGTTTGTATTAGAAGGTTGCTGCGCTGACATTCTACAAGGATGCAGTAACTTCATTGTTAACTCACCCAGCACCAAAAGGTCACTTGATAGTGTCGGCGTCCGCAGACAACACGCTCCGCACGTGGGATACTCGCACTGGCGCATTGGTCAAGGAGCACACTGGGCACCATGGCCCTATACTCAGCGCGTCTCTGGGACTCCAAGGTTCTGTGGTTGTTAGCGGTGGGGATGATTCTGCTTGCCTAGTCTTCACTACGGAGGTCGACGAGTCTGGATAGAACATCCTCCCCCATTCCTCAGCTGAGCTATCTCAGCTACCCAGAGTCACAAGAACAATACCCCTGTACTATCCAGTTGGAATTATAGATTGTTCGAGAGCATGTGGCTTGAGTTGTATCCTGCAGTATTGCAAACGACTTCTCATGCCAGGTAATTGATCAGTAACCTGGAATGGAGGAACCAGATCAGAGTAACAAGAAATCAAGTTGGATGGCCGCTGATGTACAGGTGTGTGCATTCACAAGATTGTACATCGCTGAGAGTTTGGGCGATTGTACACTTGCGATTGACCTTACTATGTCGTACCACTGTAACTTGATCTGGAGCGCTGCACATTTCAGCACTATTTACACTTACCTGCAGATTGTTAGTGGTTTTCCGGGCATTGTAATGCTACAGCAGCAGAAGTAGATACAACAATGTGTAACCAATATGTAACTTATATCTAGTGACTAGTCGGAATGCATCCGCCGCAGGCCCGCAGCCGCCACACGCACGGCGGGTACCCACGATAACTCTGATTATATCGATCACAGCATCGTTATCCCGTTCTTCATCCTTGTATTCGTACTACTGTGTCTAGGAGTCCTGGTATTTCTTTTGATCGACGGACATGTATAACGGTTTCCAAGCTGAAAGCAATAATCCGTTCCTGAGTGATGCTCAGACTGCCCCCGCACATTCTCGCTTCCCCAATATTTCTGCATCGACCTTTCAACAGTCGCCGCCGCAGATGGGCTACCAGTCTTACGACACAGGTTATCAGCAACAGCCCTATTTCCAACAGCAACAATATCCGCAGTTTCAAGGACAGACACCCTACAACCAGCCACAGCAATACCAACAGAATCAGTATGCGTCTTCATCTTATAGATCGGGGTATGTCAAACGTATATAGTTTGCCTTAGACTGCAGGCTTACTTTCCATGTTGCCCCAGACAACTTGCCCCACAGTCGACTGGCATGCCTTTTCAGCCGCCTAGTCAGTTTGGACAACAGCTAGCGTCTCAAGCAGACTTCCAGCAGCCTTATCAACAATATCCAAACGGGTACCAGAACCAGTATGTTCAGCAGCAGCAGCAACAACAATTACAACAACAACAGCAATACGGCGGCTACCAGCCTCAGCAACAATTACCAAGTTACCTTTCTGAGTTTGACCCATACCGCGACGCGCCCCACCCCACTCCTTCACGTAACAGGTCCAGTTCCCAACCAACTAGCCTTGCAAGCCACAATCCTGGCGGTGCGATGCACCCTCGGGATTATATCCGCCAACATAAATCTGAACTGGAGGCCTGGGATCCGTACACGTGGAAGCAGATGTTTAATGCCTGTGATGCGCTCAGCGCAGCCTGGCTTACACGCAAACAAGAGGCGGAAAGAGCAGTGCAGCAGCTGGGTGGGAACAGCGCACCGGGTTTCTTCGGTCCAACACCTGGTTATCAGGCGTATGGCAATGAACTTCAGAGGTGGCAGGAGGTAATTGCTTCCTCATCGAATCCTTTGCAATTGCTCACCCATTGCTCCAGCTTGTGAAAGAAGCGAACTCGTATCATGGTAATCTCTGTCCTCTACTGTGAGCTTTGCTAGTATTCATCACGCATTTTCTGCAGATACCGTCGCAGCCTCTGCATTTCAGCTGAAAGAGGTTCACTCCTCTTATAGACAGTCGGGAGATGCTGTGAGCAAGCGACGCGTGCGCGAATCTTGCAACGCAGCGTTGTCGAACTTGCCCGACTGGCCCGCACCATTAAATGCCACTCAGCCGTGGTAGAATTTTTCTTCACCTCGCTATGAATCATGAAAGGGATTTACGTTACGATCATTTACGCAACATGCATGCTATTGTATTTCTTGCGCATTTCTTGTTGTTGGTCTGTCCTGTTCTGCATCGCACTACCGGTGCCGGCTTGATACTATATTGCTGCACATTGAGGGCGGTTTCTCTGTCTCCACTATCTTACACTCCTTTCTTTCTTTCTCGCAATTGGCCAAATGGGAGTTTTTGTATTTCTATGGATACTTGATCGGCTGCAGACATTAACGGTGGTTACGGTGATCCTCAAGTACACCTTTGCATATCGCATGATCTTCATCGACATCCCTCGTCCATGATGGATATCCAATGGCCGCCAAACGTTACTTTTCGTGAGTGCTCACTGAATATACAAGCCCCCGGATTCCAAACTTACTCAGCCAAGCGTTGAGTGGATCTAGTAGTAGGCGTTGGTGGCTTGACCTCAGGCTTCTTGTGTCCTGATCTCAACTTGACCCACGAACCGCGGCGAGTGTAGTAAGCAGTTAACGTTATAATCGAAGACCCTCCTTGGCGGTGATGCGCGCTTTCCGAATTAGAGGTCTTTGAATTTTGGTTGAACTATAATTGAACTTGCAAAATTGAACTATGACGTGTGTCGCTGAGCCAATTCACGGTCCAAACTCGGTTTCACGACATGATGCATGACCCACCCAGTGTCAAAGCACAATCGATTCATCACTGAAGGTGTAATTTTTACAGGTCCAGTACTTGAGTCCGTCACGATGTTTTGTCACAGGCGTAGAATTATCCTGGTACCATTTCAAGACTTTCAGTTCATCGAGGCGTTTTCAGCGTCACCCGCTGTGGACGGTGCCAAAATTGGTCGCATGGAAGTAGCGACAGTGTATCCTGCGCGCATCGCCGGAGTACTAAGGACTAAAGCTTCGTCGTGCATCGAAATGTCAAGGTATGTTGCCAACAAATGTCATTGTCCGAGATTGATGATGGTATACTGCTACTTAGATTTTAGATCTCAGAGTACTGAGTCTGCTGACAGAACAATGTGCTGCGAAATTTCGTTCTCCTGTGGTTCGTCATTTTTCTACTTTACATTATGCGCCCTTGTTGCTTTGGTTATCCATTGTGACTGCTGCGCGGAAACATTTGTTGCCTTGGACCTACACGGCTGTGGATCCCACATATGTGTTCCACTACGGTCTGAGCTACTTACATTTCTCGTCTATTTAAGTAAGTTCTGCAGATATACTAACACCAGCACCTCTACCGACGTTTGCGTTACTGCGTGTTACGACTAAGGTAAGATATTTTACTGCTTGCACTTGACTGAAGTTTCGTTTGCACTTGACTGACGCCCCGCAGTCCTCATGACGACACTGCCATCCTCCCTGTCCGACCTTACCTCTAGAAGCGCAACCACTGATGTTGCGCAGCTTCGCGCTGAGATCGACGAAGACCTTGCTACATTAGCCGAGTCTATGCGCAGCCTTTGCTTTCGCAGGAACTGCCTAGCTCCTATCTCTAGACTTCCAAACGAGATTCTCGCGATGATTTTCGAATACTACGAAGAAGACAACCGTATCGATGAATATGATAGTGTGTATGTCCCTGCTTGCCTAGCAGTTACACACGTCTGTAGACACTGGCGCAATGTGGCTCTCGATTGCTCGACTCTTTGGAGATTCATCAGTTCTTCCTCTCCTTTTTGGCTAGATATCATGCTTGAGAGGTCGAAGGAAATTCCTTTGGTTGTCACATACACTACTCCGATGCCGCTAGACAATTGCTTGGAGAAAGTCCTGTCACACCTGCCTCGGATCGAATACCTCGAATTTGCCTCATTGTCATGTGATGTCGGTCACGTTATGGATCTGTTATCATCTCGGCCTGCACCGATGCTTAAAGAATTCAGATTTTGGGCTAAAGATGGCACCCCCCTTCTAATAGGACCCGTAGGCCCTATCTTCCAAGGACAAGCACCCCTACTTCGGAACCTCACACTCGACAATTGTAACCGCAGCTGGTCATCGTGTATTTTCGGTGGGCTTCGGTCTCTATGTATCACAGAAACACGCTTGCCGGACCTTCTTTCAGTTCTGCGATGTATGCCTACCTTGGAGCTTCTCGCGCTTGAATCAATAAAGTGCGACGAAAGAACGCTGTTCGATAAAGTGCCACTCGCTCGGTTGAAAAGTATATATCTATGTGCCACCTCGCTCCGTGCTGCTGTACCTGTTTTCGCACATCTAGCCCTTCCCGTCGATGTCAAAATTTCTCTACGTCTCTACTCGATTAAAGGGCCTAAAACATTCTCAGAACTGTTTTCGGCCATTTATACGCACCCTAGTGGATCTGGTCCCGTCCTACGGTCGTTGCGTGCCACCAATCTCAATTCAAGGCATATGGCTGTCCAATTTAGCACGTCGAGAACAATCAAGGATCCTGACGACGACGACGTACGACTGTCGATACGATTCTTCTTTGACCTACCCAGTGCACGTCAGCCAGACATCGCACTCGATATATGGCAGGCCATCACGCAGCCAAAACATCGGACCTTCTTTTCTGGAGACCTCGAATTCATCCATATTGAGGGCTTCACAGGCCTCATTCGGGGCATAACCTCTGCGCTTCGGATTCAAGGGTCGTCAGATGTAACATATCCCTCGCTCCGTGTTCTGGAGCTTCGAGATATGGTGTTCCACGATAGCGAACTTAATGATCTTCGGGATATCTTGACAAGCCGAACCAAACATGATCACAATCTCCGCCTACAGGACTTCCGACTCACGCTATGCAATAATTTTACGGCTGACCAGGAGCAGCTTTTTAAGGAGGTGGCTGTGAATATTGATTGCGATCGATGGACTCTTAACGATGGCCGCAGTTCGAGAGGGAGGCTGCTCTGATTGCTTTGAATAGACTGACGTTTTCATGTATTATCATGTACTTATGTCATCGTAACGGCTCCGGTGCGAGCCCTCGACTCGCTCAAGTAAAGCCATGTCACGTCTGTAATACCTTGTATATCTACAACATATCTACATATTATAAGAACGGAGCGATTGGGAATATGGTGTCGACGCCATGTGCGCGCTCCATTTCTCGTCTGAATCCTGAGTATATTCAAACTCCCGTGTGTACGGCGTGAACACTTTATCACAGTTTACGACGTGTTTGCTTGGACAAAACATGGAATAGTAGTTGCACGCCGTTTATCTTATGTTTATTTCTCGAAAACACGACCGTTAGTAATTGACAAATATTTTCACCCATTCGTACCGTGCTGTACATGTGCCTCCAAGTCAATCATGATGCTTTACAGCTATCTGAAAAACGATAGGCCATAATTTCAAAAATCCACTTAGTGGCTTTGTTTATTGTTGGAGTGACAGTAGCGCTTCATAATGCTACATCAGGAAAACTACCAGTTGCTTTTTTTACTTTATTTGTCACTTAATTACACGAAAAGGGACGCATAAGTCGATGGAGTGAAAAAGCGCGAGCCACTTAATTAAGCCCACTCGTCCTCTGGATTTTTACTTAATTCACTTAAATAAGCAGAAAAAGCGGTTTAAGCATTTGATAGCAGGATAACGAGGATACATAGAAAGCGTGATAAGCATGAAATTAAGGAGACTCTCAGTAACATAAGGAACTGGGGGAATGGGGGAAAAGGTGGGCATGCAGGCAAAAAAGCAGTCAGCGGCAGAAAACATGATAGCAGAGCTGGCGGAAAACATGATATACGGCAGAAAACAACCACAGGACAGCGAAATTCATGCACTGGCAGGTGCTGCAACAAAAACAAAATCCTGCAACAATGGATGTCAGTGAGAGGGCGCCTGAATGATAAATACTTACAAATCATAGCACGCTTGTCATCCTCCGACTCGTCATCGTCGATCAGCGAGCCCAACGGTGTTTCAGTGACATCATTCAAGGTGGTACGCGCCATCTGTACTGTAGTTTCGAGGTACCCAGCAGGCTTGCCTAACAGAGATTTGATGTACGAATTAGTTGGTTTAAGCCAGAGAGCTGCCGAAAATAAAAACGGAATGTTGGTCTTTTTCCCAGTAACTTTGTTGAGGACCTTCGGTAGCCTGATGCTAACCCGACCTCTTGATGCGGATGACAGAACATTTTGAACTTCGAGTACTTCATTTGCGATCATGGAGACAGCGCGCTCAATCTGAAAAAAATGAGCATGATTAAGCCATTATAGGTTGAACTCACCGCTGCAGCAGAAAGAGCAAGAGGCCGTAACATCCCACTTGTTGCAAGTGCGCACATGTCGAATGAGGGAACCTGCACATAACCGGTGATGGCGTTGAGGTGTGCTGTGCCAAATAACTGCAGTACAAAGGGTGAGCGGTATGCAGTAAGTGGAGATGGATTGTCCGGGTCCTCGAACAAGAATGCCCATTCAACATTAAGAGATTTGGCCAGTTTGACAGGATTCATGTCGGAATTTCGTGATAAAAAGTCCATGATGATGACTAGCCCTGTGGAGCCAAAATTGCTGCGCCACTCTGAAATGCGCTGTGCAGTCTGTATAGATTTAGCTCAGGTCGCTAAACCTAGAATTAAACAGCTGACTTACGAGTGAATGTATAACTCCACCGTGAACAACCACTATGTCGAGATCGTTGTACACTGCGTTAAGAACAAGCTGCGCATGATGGAGAAGGACCTCGTCAGGAATACTCCAGATATCTTCATAGCTTCCGGCCCACAGCATTATGGTAGGGATAAAATTCTTCGCCCAGCGCTGATCCATTTGCATCACTGGAGGTAGGTCAACTGTGCGATAGGCACTGCGTGCTTTGATGTTGTCTGGTGCAGTATCTGCATTCTGCTGGCGTGTGGTAGCAGGAGCACCACGGGCATGTAGTGCGGAAGATTTGACCTTAGCCTTTTTATGAGCTGGCGGCTTGCTGTCGACTATAGCCTGAGATGCAGTAACGGATGTCTGTACATTGTCAGAAATGAGTGCGATTAGGGCCAGAATCCTTACTGAATATGTTGTGCGCAGAATTTTCTCCTTCTTTGCTGCGTTAGTTTTGACAGGGAGCGGTGCCTCCGAATCAGAACTCATGATTGCGTCTTCTACCAGTTCCGCATTGCCATCAATCTCCATGGACCAGGACACCAAAGACTCCTCATCGTCTATGGTGCTAGCTTTCCGCTTCAAGAACATATGATTGTCTTCCTGTGTGAATGGCGCCTTAGGCTCCTGTGAGTACTGCTCCTCCGGTAATACTTGTGTCGACAGAGCCATAAGCTCATCATCCGAGTCGTCTGATGCCTCTGGTGGAGCCTCAGGCTCATCGACATCATAGTCCTCTTCGTATAGCGTGACAACCTGTGAAAGAAGGAATTAGTAGATTCGGATGCTGGCAATGAATCACTGCCAATAGTACCTTAGATTTCCCCTTGTTTTTCTTGCTCCCCAAGAGAGCATCCTCACGCTCCAACGAATCGTCGATATCATCTGCAAACGCGCCAGTAAGAGTATCGTCTGCGACACCATCCGGAATTTGAGGCAAAGCTGCAGGAATCTTAGTCGGAAGCTCAGCGGCTGAAGTCGGTGCGGAGGAAGCATTGCCCTCTGAGAAAATTGATGACGGAGGTGCTCGAGTTGAAGTGCTATCAATGGATGGACATGACAGTGGCTCTGGATTTCCAGGTTTGACCCCTGAGATCCAGTTGGTCACTCGGCCACCTAATGCAAGTTTTGTGGATGTGTTGATACTGGAAGTAAGGTTTAGAAAAAAGAGTGTCCATTCAGTGAGGAGCAACATGGTAATGTGAGAGATAAAAGCCTTACGGTGATTTCCCATCAGCACGTGCATCATCACCTTCCACTTTTGACTCAGATGATTCAGTGAGCTTCTTTTGCATGTTACTGATGGCATCCCTTATCAACGTCTTTGCGACTTTCTTCGTCACCATCTTTTTCCCCCTTCCTGCAGCTTTATTTTCCACATCCCTGGCAATGTCAGTCTCTGACACTAGGTCCTCCAACATACCACTATCAGCAGGACTGTCACCACCACCGGTGTCTCCTACCACAGACTTTTTCTGAGTCACTTTTGGCTTTATCGCCTTGGCCCTAGGCTTGGGCCGGACGGGAGTCGCCTTTTTCATGATCAATTCCTTCTGGGCTTTCTCCATCTCAGCCTGCAGAGCAGCAATACGCTCAACCCCCTTTTGGTGCGCTGCTTCCTTTGCTTCTCTCGCTTCTTTGATGACAAGGTCATCTGCAGCCTTTTGAGCCGGGGATCGCCTCTTGATCTTCGTGTCGAGCAACACCTTAGCAGGTCGGGCAGTTGCAGTCGATGGGCGGGTGCGCCGGGGAGCGTCTGTCATGGACATGACTGTGCAGATGGGGGAGACGGTGAGGGATAAGACTTTGCGGAAGAGGAAAAGAAAAGTAGGGTTTCAAGTTGAGAAAAAAAGTCGTAAGTCCCACCCCCAACAGCTGCCGACTGTGGTAATCGGGGTGTCACCTTTTGTTTAATAGTATCAAACTAGTACTAGTATGTGTGTTCGGCACTTCAAGTTCTCTGCCTTACTTTATTTTACAGTCAAGATGCCCATCGCTCGCAGGGACCATAGTTCTCTCCAGTTTCCCTGCGGTTACTTACACTGCGCACGTCATTTCAAGTCTCAGGGAGGGCGCAAAAAACACTGGAACACCTCACACTCAATATTCGGACCAGCTCCTGCTACCACCAGCGTCTCACACACTGCTACCACCAGCGTCTCGCACACCACTACAGTTGAAGAGCAGCCTGAAGTACTGGATGGCCACTTCTCAGCAGGTCATGACAACATCTCTGCAGGCGGTGACAATTTTCCTGCGGGTACATCTGACCCAAGTCAGGCACTTAATGAGCCTGACATTCCAGATAATTTGAACGCAGAATTTTTTGGGCCGGGTGATAGATTATACCGCAACTATCACCCAAAACTAAATGGTATGTTTCACAAAGTCCTTCCAGCTAGTTACAACTAACACGTATATCAATATAAGCTCGTCCTTGCGACGTGACAGGACGATTCCTTGCAGATGGAGCGCCCCCGACACCACCTCCAATCAAGTCACCCGATGACTGGGCTCCATATCGAAATCGTGTCGAGTTCAAGACTGCAGAATTTCTGTACACACGCAACCAAATGTCTGCCGGAGACATCAATATCTTATTGGATCTTTGGGCTGCAACCCTCCTCAAATACAACGACAAACCTCCGTTTGCGGACCACCGTGATTTGTATAAAACTATTGACGCTACGCCAGTGGGTGATGTCAAATGGCAATCCCTCAAGGTCCAGTACACTGGGGAGAAGCCCAAAACCAATGTACTACCCTGGATGGACCAATCTCACGATGTCTGGTACCGAGACCCCCATGAGGTTATTCAGAACATGTTGGGGAATCCGGACTACGCTACAGAGATGGATTATCGGCCCTACCGTGAGTATTTGACTGATGGCGATGAACGCCAATGGCAGGACTTCATGTCTGGTGACTGGGCATGGAACCAAGCGGTACGTTGTCTTTCATTGTTTTCTGTCGCTACACATGCTGAAAATTTCAGTAGGAAACTATTTCTGAAGATCCGGATACACTCGGCTCAACGTTTGTGCCGGTTATACTCGGAAGCAACAAGACAACAGTCTCAGTGGCGACTGGTGCCAACGATTACTATCCCTTGTATGTATCAATCGGGAACGTTCGTAATAATGTCCGACGTGCACATTGTGATGCCGTTGCCATTATTGGCTTCCTCGCTATGCCAAAAAGTATGTTTCACACTACTACTATTGTTCTGCGCTAATCACAGTCAAGCAGCTACAGAGGAGCACGCAAAAGACTCAAAATTTCGGAAATTCCGTCGGCAACTGTTTCATTCGTCTGTCGCCAAGATTCTCGAGAACTTAAGGCCTGGTATGACCACACCAGAGGTTGTACGCTTCGGTGACGGCCACTATCGGCGTGTAATTTATGGCCTTGGACCATACATTGCAGATTACGAGGAGCAGGTTCTACTAGCATGCATAGTGCGCAATTGGTGTCCGAGGTATGTTCCTAAATTATCTCCAACATCCCTCTACCTTAATGCTACTAGGTGTATGTCACATCCTGACAGTTTAGACACGAAGTCACTGTGTCGTCGACGTGACCATACAGAAGCGTTAGTTGAAGAGGCAACCTATGGTGCTTTGTGGATGGAGTATGGGATTGTTGGTGACCTTGTTGTAAGTCTCGCGCATCTTTTCTATCGGAGTTGAGACTCAATCCTTTCTAGCCGTTCACAAACGATTTTCCACGCGGCGATATTCACGAACTTATCGCGCCGGATATCCTGCATCAACTGATTAAGGGAACCTTCAAGGATCACCTAGTCAAGTGGGTTGGACAGTATCTGCAACATGTCCATGGTACGAAAGAAGCGGAGAGAATTCAAGCTGATATAGATCGAAGGTGCGTCACTTTGTCTCGAGTTGATGATTCGAAAGCTCACATCATCAAAGAATTGCTGCGGTTGCTTCATTTGCAGGTCTCCGACGATTTCCAGAAGGTCGGGGATTCAAACAATGGACAGGCGATGATTCAAAAGCCCTCATGAAGGTTAGTTCACTATCACATTAACTAGGATATTGCAACTCGGCTAACAATAATTCAGGTCTATTTACCTGCCATCGAAGGTCACGTCCCAACAGATGTGGTGCGCATGTTTCGCGCATTTCTCGAATTTTGCTATCTCGTACGGCGCAACATCATTACAGAATCTACTTTAGGTCAAATTCAGGAGGCTCTTGACCGATTCCATCATTACAGGGAGATATTTGAATCTACGGGTGTTGTCTTCACGTTCTCTCTCCCTCGGCAACACTCTTGTTCCCACTATGTCCTCCTTATCCAACTTTTTGGTGCGCCCAATGGCCTTTGCTCCTCGATCACCGAGACGAAACACATCAAAGCTGTCAAGGAGCCATGGAGGCGCTCGAGTCGCTACAAAGCCCTTGGTCAGATGCTGGTGACAAACCAGCGCCTCGATAAGCTCGCAGCAGCACGCATTGATTTCAAGAACCGCGGAATGTTAAACGGCACCTGTCTGTCTGCCACACTCAAGGCATTAAGTAAGTTTTATAACAAGTTACATCTTTATTGTTGGCTTAAATTTACACTAGAGCGTTTGCGCTTAAATAAGATGCCTGATGCCAGCCAACCCAACGAGAATAGCGCCACGGTGCCAGTACTCTTCAACGCTGATGTTACTATACAGGGTGATAACGAAGAGGGCGAAATTGACACAGTTGGCAAAGACCCCTCGTAAGCTATCTCATATTTTACAGTGAACACTCTTCTAATAGAATCGCAGAACGCAAACGCGCACACACTATACCCGAGCTATCCACGGAACTCTCTATCCCCAATCTCTACAATGTCCTCCGCCGCTTCCTATTCGAACAAGTGTACCCAGACGACCAGCACCCTCCCTCTGAAATCCCGCTTTCGAGATGTCCTCGATTTGATGGGAACATCCAAGTCTTTAATTCTGCATCTTCGACATTCTATGCGCCCAGCGACCGCAGTGGAATTGGCGGTATGCGCCGTGAGCATATTCGTGCCTGTCCTATTTGGAGAAACGAGGCGCCCCGGTATGACTGTGTGTTTGTTAACACAGATGCAAGTGTTGAAGGGATGGTGGGCATGGATATAGCGCGCGTAATGTGTTTTTTTTCTTTCACATTCAATGCAGTTTCGTATCCATGTGCCGTTGTGCGCTGGTTTGACAAAGCCAGCGACGGACCCGACCAGGACACTGGGATGTGGATTGTGACACCTTCGTTTGATACTGACCATTCTTTTTCTGTTGGAATCATCCATATTGATTCTATTTACCGTGCCGCACACCTCATTCCAGTCTATGGAGCACAGATCATTTCACGCGACATCAAGCACCATGACTCATATGATGCTTTTCGAGCATTCTATCTGAACAAGTTCGCAGACCATCATGCTTTTGAGGTCGCATCCTAGGTGTTTTGGTCTTCTCGCTCTTGTAAGTTCATTCTGTCCGCTACTCGCATATGTGGTCTAATTACTGCGTCATCAAGTTTGCAGAGGCTAAGCCATGGCGCGTCAGACAGGCTATCATAGAATATATCCCCCTTCTCAACTCTACTTCGACAACGACATGAAAACATGTGTCTCGTCACTCTTGTGCCGCCCCCTCCGAGTCAATATGACCACGGCTCTGCTGTTGCGAGTACAGGTGATGGGGTCATCATCTGCGTGATCTGCGGCGACTTTTCAGCAAGCACTTCAGATCTAGGATGAGCTTGAGCGGAGTGCTTAGACGACGAGTTTGGTGAGCGCAACTTCTGCGCATTAGGTGAGTCTCCATAGTGCTTATTGCAATGCTCAGACCTAACTCCATCATTGAGTTTGCAGAGGCTAAGTCATGGCGCGTCAGACAGGCTATCATAGAATATATCCCCCTTCTCAACTCTATTTCAACAACGATATGAAAACACGTGTCTCGTCACTCTCGTGCTGTCCCCTCCGAGTCAGGATGACTATGGCTCTGCTGTTGCGGGTACAGGTGATGAGGTCATCATTTGAGGTGACGAAATCTGCATCTGCGTGGTCTGCGGTCATTAGTTTCAGCAAGCGCTGACGGGTGACTTGGACTTGGACTTAGTAGTAGTACTGGTAGTACTACGTGTACCCCACTTATTGTGCTTACAAAACTTTTTCTGCTTTTTGAGCTTTTTTGAATGGTGCCAACTTGTGAACTCTGAATTTGCTTTCCAGAAAGTGCATTAAGTCGGAAAAGTAACACTCCGAGAGAATTTAAGAGACAAAAAGTGAGATAAGTAAGCGGTGGTTTTCCTGATGCTAGGAGTTGCCGACTTTGGTAACAACATGTCGTGGAGCTGACCATCGCGGCTGTAGTTTGCGTGCTGATGCCATGGTGAAGTCTAATGCATTAGCGTAGACTTGAACTAACTGTCCTTCTTCGAATATTACTTCACCTGTATGTGACTTGAGAACTTTCTTCTCGAACGTAGCCTTTTGCCGTGCTGTATGAGCAACCATATGATCTGCTCCATCGAGGCGTTGTTGATCCACATAGACCATGTGTATGTCAACTCCTGTTTTGCTTGGCTCTCTCACTGCATTGTCTATCGGTGTAGGAATGGTGTTGACGACAAGGCCTAGCATAAGTTCTTTAGGTGAAAACTTGAAGGCTGGGATGATGCGCTCGTTCAATTGACGAATGGCGTTGTCAAAGTGATCTGGCCATGTTTGAGCTAGACTCTCTGCTTCCACATTCTCATATTCATCTTCCCCTAGACTTGGGCTGCATAACCTCTTCAAATGTCCTAACAATTTCCCATTAGCGTTTTCCACCAAACCATTCACCCATGGTGCATATGCTGCTACTACATGGTGTTTGGTTCCATGAGCTTCGCACCATGTCTGCACGTCCCCATTGTCAAAATGAGATCCGCCATCTGTCATGAACATGTCTGGTGCTCGGAAGGTATTTGAGATAGTTTCGAGTCCGTCGACTGTTGTCTGCGCATTTCCATGTCTTCTCAATTTGAACCCCCATACATATTGTGAGTATGTGTCGAGGACTAGTAGGACATTATGATACCCGTTTTTCCCTTTCGGAAGAGCTAGGTAGTTGGCTACTAGGAGTTCGAAGGGATGGCATTCAGTGATGGGGTACATGAGAGCATGTAACTGAGTGGGACCAAAGTTCTTGCACTGGGGGCAGTTCAGTAACGCTGCAGTGATGGATTTGTCCAGATGTGGGCTGATGATGCGGTCCATCAACTGCAGTTTGGTAAGGTCTTGTCCCCAGTGTCCATTGCTTGCATGTACTTGACGCGCCAATTCTACTGCTTCCATTTGGGAGACACATTCTAGCTGTGCTCGTGCTCGCGTTGACTTGCCGTCCACTATGCGCCACAATTTCCCTTCTTCAATCATGTATCCCAGAGTACGGTAACGTGCTCTGCATCGCTCACAGTCCGGTTTGCTGCTGTCAAGGTCAAGGAGTGCATCTATGACTTCTAGGAAGAGAGGTTCTTGCTTAAATCATTCTTGTAGTTCTAAATCGCTGAATCAGTAGGTTGCACTAGAAAGAGGTCATTTACTAAGCCGTGTGTTGTTTTCCCAATCTTCGCTAACTGACCAAGCGATTTCATCTCCATCCGTGCATGGTCATCCAGACATATGATGATTTAATGCATCTGCGGCTGCATTGGTGATACCTGGATGATGCCGGACTGCAGTTATTTGGTATGCTAATATCCCATTGCGCCAATGTGCATGCACTATTGACAGTTTGTCGCTGAGTAGTGTGTCCCGCAATGCTGTACAGTCTGTTTCCACTGTCTACAGGGAAGCCCCACACTGTTGATCCGAACTGATCAAATGCGAACTTTAATGCTGCGAACTCAAGTAGATATGGTTTGTAGTGTTCTTCCGATAGAGAAGTATGCTTTGACATGAATCCAATCGGGTAGATATTCATGACAGTATTGCCCGATGGTTGTTGTGTTGTGAACCGTTGTGCTAGTACAGCCCCAAAGCCGTCCTTGCATCTGTTGCTAATGATGATGAACGGTGTCCCGTCGAAGTTAGGTGCACGTAGGATCAGTTCTGAAACTAATATCTGCTTGAGTCTTATGAATGTTTTCGTGTGGCATTGCTCCCAATATATGTCCAGCTTGTATTTGCGTAAGTATTGCCTATACTTCCATTTTCCTCCTTTCACGCTGAGTGGAGGTAGATCTAGGTTTCATAGAAGGTCCGTTAATGGAAGTACTATACGTGCATAGTCCTTTATGAGCGATCGAGAATATCCTGTAAGGCCTAGAAAATGCATCAGTTCTAACAGGTTAGTAGGAACCGGCCATTCTGCTACAGCTGCAATTTTTGCTAGATCTGGTCTATACCATCATATCCTATGCATGATCCACCAAAGACAACCTCTCTCATGAAGAGCTGGGTCTTCATTGGTGAAATTGACAGTCTCCGTTCTCGACACTGTAAGAAAAAAGAGCCATAACCTTGATAGTAGTTCGTTGAAGTCGTTACCTGCCATAGCCCCATCGTCGACATATAACTCCAGGAGTAATTGTAACATTATGTTGTGTAATGCTTGAGCTGTGAGATCACTGAAACATGATGGGCGCACCTTGTACCCCCATTGGCATTCACTGATAGGCTTCGTATCCTTGTCCTTTGGTGTAGAAACACAAATAGGGTTGACTCTCTTCCTCCACAGGAATTGCATAGAAACCTGCTGTGAAGTCCAAGACACAAATAAATTCGTGTCCCACTAAACATTGTTGTTTCGCGGCTATGTCTCCTTGAGGCGTCACTGCTACGTTTGATACCTTATTCACGTCCCTGAGTTCTAGCATAGTTCTCCATTTGACCTTAGATGGGTATACCTGCTTCGGAGTGATAACCGGTGTTGATTCCATGTCAACAGTGTGGTCCAAAGGCTCACCGAGTGCGACACACTGTTGGTTAACAATCTGTTGAATGTCGTCAAGCGATAAGCTGGTTCCTGAGTGAGTCTTCTGCACTAAGACTGTTGAAGCTACCGCTTTGACTTTGTCCACCGGAATGAAACATGTGATTCCTGCCCGTCTCATGTCATCTAGAACTGGGAATAGATACTTGCATTGAGGCTGTGTTAGTGGTCTTTGGTGCACTTTCCTTGAAAATATCGCATCCTGAGGTATCTGTAGACGGAATTTAGTAAAGTCCACTGGTTTCACTCCTGGATTGATAGTGCAAATACGTCCGTGAACTCTAAACTAGTGCTTGTGCCTTCTGTAGTTGTTCTTGGTTGAGATGTGCTCCAAAACAAACAGCATTGGTGATTGCATTACTCGAGGTTGGATAGAACGGTCCTCATGATGTTAGTCTAGAAAGATATCATCAGGTAGCGCTGAGTCTCCAAGGTCCGGTACTTCACCTAATATTTGTGTGTTGTCTTCATCATCTTCCTTATTTACTGTTGGACTTCGCTTATTAATTCTGGAGGTTCTT